AACCACCATATGATGTAACTATACCACTCCTCAGTATTTATCCTAAAGAATCAAAGTTATCACTGTATAGTAAATACATACATACCCGTGTTTATAGCAGTACAATTCACAATTGCCGTATTATGGAATCAGCCTAGGTGTCTGTCAGTGGATGAGCAGGTAAAGGAAATGTGGTATATATACACAGTGGAGTTTTACTAAGCTATAGGAAGAACACAATTGTGTCATTCATAGAAAAATGTGTCGAACCGGAGGACATCATGTTAAATGAAATAAGCCAGACTCATAAAGTCAAGAGTTTTATTTTTATCTTATGTGTGGAAGATAGAAAAAAGCGAAAAAAAAAAAAAAGTAGGGGGAGTTGATGGTGGGTGGTAATCGCATGAAAATAGAAGGGATTTTAGTAAAGGATGGGGGTCAGGGAAGGAAGGAGGAGAAGGAAAGGCAAGATACTAGGCAATGAAATTGACCAAATTATTTTATGTGCATGTATGAATATATCACAGTGGATTCCACTATTATGTACAGAATGTACCATTAAAGATTTTTTTAAAAAAGAAAGGTGGGGCTGGGGATGTGGCTCAAGCGGTAATGCGCTCACCTGGCATGCGTGGGGCGCTGGGTTCGATCCTCAGCACCACATAAAAATGAAATAAAGATGTTGTGTCCACTGAAAACTGAAAAATAAATATTAAGAAAATTCTCTCTCTCTCTCTCTAAAAAAAAAAAAAGATGGCCAGTCATGGTGGTGCACATCTGTAATCCCAGCAGCTCCAGAGGCTGAGGCAGGAGGATTGTGAGTTCAAAGCTAGCTTCAGCAACACAATGAGGCCCTAAACAACTCAGCGAGGCCCTGTCTCTAAGTAAAATATAAAAAAAGGGCTGGGGATGTGGCTCAGTGGTTAAGCGCCCCTGGGTTCAATCCTCAGTTCAAAACAGGTGGTGCAGCTCTGTTTAGCACTCTTGGAAGCCAGCCAACATGTAACAAAATTTGCCTGTCCTGTGGGACAGCCCTATTCAAGAGGGAAAGTCTTGGGTGAGGAGCTGAAGATGGGAAGATGTTGAGTGCTTGAAGGAGTTCCAGAGGGACAAGAGGGATGCATGTAGGGAATGGGAAAGTGCCAAAGACAGGCTGTAGCTGCAGCATAGCGCTGTGTGGCTGAGGAGGAAGCAAGGAATGAAGTACAGGGCTTTCACAACAGGAGTGTCAATTGGCCTTGGAGGCTTGTTGACTTGCTCTGAGTTAGGTACTTAGCAAAGTTGGAGTTTTCAGTGTTGGCTGATGTAGGGACTGGCGGGGTGATTCCATGATTGACTCAGAGAGTTGTCAGTCCTTGGATCTCTTTAGTAGGGCAGCTTTTCCAGCATTGGCTCTGGGAATTGGCTCCTGAACACGTATTGCTTTGGAAAGGCCCACTGAGATAGCTGCCTTGAACATTGTTATGGGTTGAATTATGTCTCCCCAAAATGAATACGTTGAAGTCGGAGCCCCCAATACCTCAGAATATGACCTTGTTTAAATAAGGTTGTTATAGATGTGCTTAGTTAAGAAGTCATAGTGGAGTAGGGTGGGCTCACTCCAAGATGCCTGATGTCTGTATATGAAGGGGGCATTTGGACATAGAAATGGACACAGAAAATACTATCTATATAAAGATGAAAGCAGAGCTCAGGTGACACAGAAGCCCAGGAATGCTAAGGATTAGCAGCAAACCTCCCAAAGCTAGGAGAGAGGCATAATCAGTTTCTTTCCCAGGACTCTCAAAATGAAGCATCCCTATTGACATTTGACCTTGGGCTTCTGGTCTTTACAACTAGGAGACAGAATGTTTCTGTTGTTTAAACCACCGAGTCTGTGGTACTCTCTCAAACACCCATCCCCCTTCCTCCCTTTTCATCTCATCTGGAAATCTGGGTGCATGATCACAGGGAAAAACTTGTGCCCAAAGGAAATCTGCCAATCACATCTTAATCCAGTTAAAATTAAAATTCTCATTTCTTCAAAAAGTTTTGTGAAAGGCAATCTATTGGCTATTTCAGGTACAAGGAAAAGGAGATAATACTTGATAGGAGAACCCCTTTAATATCTTGGAAATAAAACCTCTCTAACATCAAATAAGTTGTTTGAGCCCCTTCTATCCAAAATATGTCTTCACTTATTCCAGAATTTATAAGGATTTTTAACACTTGGTTGTTTTTCTCTAGAAACCTGATTTCATCTAATCTAACTGTATTAGGATTGGCACTTGATTATTCCAATACAATCATTTGCATGATTTTTTAGTGCCCTAATTGTTGGAAGCTGATACTAGAATCTTAAAAGTGGCATATCTTATTCAGAAATGTTTAGTGCTTTATAATAACAATAATATTGGATGCATTATGCAGTAATAATGGAAATTACATTTGCAAAATAGTAATGGTAATGGAACATTCTGAAATGCAAGAAATAGAAAAAGCACAGCAGGAGAGAGGAATGTTTTATTCAATGCATTTTGGGTGGCTGTGATCTCAGGTTGGAGGACAGGGGAGAGCTTATGTGAGCCTCAGGGTTGTACCACCCTTAGGCTGAGTGTTGTAGATCAATCTGGACAATTCTGACTGAAGTGGGAATTTTTGGTCACTGGGATCAAACAGGGTGGGGATATTGTCATTATTGAAAGCACAAAAAGTGATTTGCATTTTGTAAATAAAATTGGATTCTAAAGAAAGTTTATGTTTGCTATAGTTTAGTCTATTAATTTGATTTTCTTCTAGTTGTTCATAACTTCTGATTGCTAGTTTTATTTTTTAAATGTTTGGAAAAAATCTAGAAAGTATATTCCCCTATACCTTACTAGAATAGTTTTTAGGTCAATTTTAAGTTGATTAACTTTACCCTGTCCTTTAACACTCTGATTTATTGATGACATTCATCAGATGCAAACTCACAGAAAACAATGTCGAAAATAAATCTGTAAGGAACCAAAGAAATTCTTGGCTCTGTGGATTGATATAACAAATGCTGAATTTTGAATTTTGGATGTATTCTGTACCAATTAGAACACTTTATGAGATTTTGATTAAATATTTCTTTAGGCAATTTAATTACTCTTAATCCAGGAATATTCTGCTGAAAACTGCCAAGATTAAACAAAGCCATGGAAGTGCCAGGGCAGCAGAGAGGAAAAAAAAAAAAGGATGAATTAATTCCTTTGTGTCTAAATTTCAAGAATTAATTAGCCTGGTGTATGTTCCCACGGTACCTGCCCTTGCTCAGTTACTTTCACAAAGAGGTTTTTCTTTTTTTACCTTTTTTCTTTGATTTTGAAACCATTTGCCCCCAAGCTGTTTTAAGGTCCTAAGAATCCCCAGTAAGTTCTCTGGGGATTTTTGGGATCTTACCATTGTTCTTTTCTTGGTGGACCAGGAGGTACTGTCCAAAGCAAGAAGGTAAAACCTTTGCCTGCAGGTCCCAGGTCACTAGGCAAAGCCCATTTTCTTGGAGCAATTGTATGTTAGTTCTGCGTACCTTCTCCTGTACCCAACTCTGAAGTCACACAAGGAATGTTTCCATGGCATTGGGAGCCTCACATTTCAATCTCGCATGAGAAACTTATCCAACAGACACGTACTGAGAGAGAGAGGAGAGGCTGGGCAGGATCTGTTTTGGAGTTTAGCCATCCTGAACCAGCAAAGATATTTTCACTTCCATGGGACAGGATACTGACTAGTGACTTCAGTCGGCAGCTTCCTGAAGGGCTATTTGCTGTTCTGCTGTCACCTCTTGAGACTACAGCCGTAGTTTTTTTGTATGATTCCCTCCATTTCAACTGTCCCAACTTGTTTCTGAATGCTGCCAGCTTTCCTTTGTGTGGTAAAATGATCCCCTTGAAAAGTGCTTTGCAAATGTCAAGCAGTGATAACTGATAACAAAATGCTACTTGCTGACCCATATATTCATTCTCCATAAATAGCATCTCACTTTCCAAACCCAAAACCTCTTTGGGACTTTGAGTTACCATTTTTTCCATTTGTGGTTTGGGGGCAGAGGGGGGGCAACATGGTGGTTAAATTTCACCACTGCCTCTCCAGCTGTGTGACTGGGATGGGTTACTCACTGAGTCTGATTTCCCAGATGTTAATTAGGGATCCTGATAGGATTACCTTTGCAGCACAGTTAAGATGTGATTAAATGGATATCACAAAGGGAAGCAGTTAGATTGGTGTCAGGCATATATACATAATTTCATTGCTTTTTATTTATTTTTTTGAATATTTTGGTGCTGGGGAGTGAACCCAGGATCTTGTGTATACTAGGCAAGTGCTCTATCACTGAGCCACACCCCCAATCCTGCTTTTATAAGGTGTTGAGAGGTCCATTATTCTAATGGATTGTTTGCAAAGCCAGCAGAAAGGAGCTATTTTTTATAACTTGATTAATGGCAAAATATTTCTCTCCCATCCTAACTTCTTGCTGTACTCCATTTTACCTGGGATATAAACTGGTATTCAGTAAATAGGCAGATGATTTTTTTTAAAGGATGCTGTATTGGCATTTAGAAATAAAGAATTCATGGGATAATAATTTTTCTGTATGTCCAATATTCAGAATTTGGAAATCCTTTCCTTGATTTCCAGGCCTGATGAAGTTGGAGGGGGACAATGCTTGAGATGGTCTCTGCAGGCAGTGGCCCTCAGTCAGTCCCTCCCATGGCCATCATTCTGTCAGGACTTGGCTGTGTTTCTTGGACAGGCTGTGGGGACAAGCTCCATGATACACATGATCCAGTTTCTTCCTGGGTAGCCATTTGCATTGGACAGAAAGCAAGAGGATCCATTATGAGTTCCTCCTGGCATCTTGGTAGCATCATGTCCCCTTGAAAATGACCTTTAACTCTAAAATTTTAAAAATTCTGCTACCTTGGGAGGGGGTTATGATGTGAGACTCCTGATAGGAAAATGATATATTTCATAGTGATTTCCAAATCTTTTAATCTCATCTCATTGTTTAACTACAGATTGATGTTCTCAAGGCAGATCTGGAAAGTGCAGAATGGAAAGTTTTGGAAAATCTTATTCTGGAAGATGTCCTTGAACAGATTGGACAGCTCATCTTTGAGATTCATCTCCACTGGCCTGGGTTTGAGGTCAGCGGCAGTGACAGCAGCGTCGTGCGATTCTGGTACAGCCTCCTCAAAGAGTTAGAACGGAAGGATTTCAGGCTTTTTTACAGTTATAAGGATTTATCTAAACCTCAGCTATTTCTGAAGAAAGACATTTTCAATGCTAGTAGCTGTTACACTCTGAGTTGGGTGAATACAAGATGGAAATAGGATGCAGGACCTCATCCAGAATCCAAGGAAATATTTGCAAAATGGAGCATGTCTGTGCTTCTAATCCCAGATTTGCCCAACCAGCCTCCCACTGACCCTTTACCTGCTCAAGACAGGGATTGTGGTATTGTCTGTGCAGTGCATGTACCCTGGTGCTTGGCGTATGATAAGGGCACAGTTGAAGGGATGGACAAGTTTGCTTAAACTCAGACTCTTTGCCTTTGACAGAGTGTAATCCCCCACTCATTCCCAAGAATCGTCATGTATCTATAGCCCATGAGTTCACCAACATTAAAATGAAATTATGTAAATTTTCCATTTTTAGTAGGTTGATGATGAGAATTCTTAAGTTTATTGTCCAATGTTTAAAAGTGACTTTGACTCACTTCTTTCAAGGTTTCCTTTGTTGACTTAATCAATCATATTCTTTGCAACCTGATGGATTTCAACCATTGTTTCTCAGCCTTTGCTGAGGCTTGTTGTGGCTTTATAAGAACCACTGATTCTGGTTTCTTGGAATCAGATGCATTAAATTCTGTCACTGAGTTTAAAAAAATAGACCATCAAGGGCTTTGATCGAGATTCTCAATCTCAAATTCCTTTTGCTTCCTACAAAATTTAGCATATGTAGAAAACTGTTGCCTCTTCTGTCTATGGACATGACTGCTCCTCCCCCCAGACTTGCCTATACTGTTAAATCTTTTTTTAAATACACTACCTTGAATGTAAAGTACATTTTTCTTTATTGCCAGTGGCATTTTTTATAAGACTGTAGCCCATAATCTGTTTTTCCTAGAATAGTATTATAGTGTTTCAGTGTTTCTAAACTTTTTTACATTTTTAAAAATTAAGTAGAGAATGTAGGCTCTCCATTGTTCATATAATCTCCATCATCCCTATATGCAGGAACAGACTCTCCTATGAATGATTTTTTAAAATTCTCTTTTGAATAAAGTGGTAGTATAAAAATAAACCAAATTATGCCTTATTATAAATTAGGAATTTTTTTTTAACATCCTGAGAGGGTGTGAAAACTCTTATGTATATTGTTTGTTCAAAAAATTGGCAGCGGGGGAGTAGAACACTGAATATTGCCATGGTTTTTCCTTCTTGCAGGTTTTTACTTGCTTCTGCCTTCAGATTCCTTGGTTGGATTTTTCTTTATTGCAACAATTTGAAAATACCATTCCTCAAGTGAGAACCAACATAGAATAGAACGATCTAACTTGAGTTCAAAAGAGAACAGAACTTCTGAATTAATTGTGACTATTTTTAAAGGTATAAATGAAGTTTTGATTTGAAACTCACAGTACACTAATAAAAGTTGTTGGATTGAGAGGAGCAGCTTAAAGAAGTATAATTTGAAATGGCAGCTCAGTCTCTTTGATGTGCATAGGTATTTCAAATGTGCAGAAGGGTCCATAAACTATTAGTTTGTATGCTGTCCTCTCCTAAGCAAAGCTCACTTTATTCAGTCCAGTTCCACTTGAATTATGTCAATTTTTTTTCTTCATAAAAATTTTATACACTGAAATACATAGTATATATTCTTATATTGTACAGTGTGGAGTATGCTAGTTTTAAGTATGCAGCCTCATCAACTTTTAGATGTATACACACCCATATCAAGATTTTTAATTCAAAGAATTAATTTAAGGCATTACTGAAAACTGTTTTGTATAAGGCCAGTTAACCATTTGTTCAAGATTGATGGTGCAGAACATCTACTTCATCACTCTCTATATCTGAAGTAAGAATGGATGTAATGTTAAAAAAAAATCACAAACACACCAACCTATACCCACTAACTAGGCAGCCTGTTCAATAGTGATCCATACTTATTTATGCTTATTTCCCTTCATGGATAGTTGAAAATTACAATGAATATTCTGATGCCTGTCTCTAGAAACCCTGTCTCTAGAGTTGATTATGTTTGTCATGTAGACCAGGTTTTCCTAACCTTTCCACTATACTATTTTGAGCTGGGTAATTCTTTGATGGGGATGGGAAGACTATACCATGCATTGTAGGATTTTTAGCAGCATCCTTGGCCTCTACCTACTAGATGGCAGGAGCAAAAACCTCTTCCCCACAAGCTATAACAACCAGATGTAGTTCCCAGACAGTGCCAAATGTCTCCTAGGGGGCAAAACCACTCACTGTGGAGAAGTACTGGTGTAGGTCATGAGAAGGGGATCAGGTTACCACAGCATGGTGTTTGCTTTTAAAAAACCGGCAAACACAACATCCTCTTGGAAGGAATAGACAAAACAATAACCATCCCCACCAGAACCACCACAAAAGCAGCACAAACAAAATGCAGCAAGTGAACAAAAATCAAGAGTTAATTGCCAAGATCTTACAATATGCCAGGTACCTTGCTTAGGTTATTTCAAATTCTGGCCACAACCCCAAAAGTAAGTATAATTTCCCCAAGTGTATGGACAAAGAAACTCTGAGCCTGGCACAGTGGCGCATGCCTGTAATCCTAGTGGCTAGGGAGGCTGAGGCAGTAGGATCTCGAGTTCAAAGCCAGCCTCAGCAACTTAGTGAGGCCCTAAGCAACTCAGTGAGACCCTGTCTCTAAATAAAATACAAAATAGGGCTGTGGATGTAGCTCAGTGGTCGAGTGCCCCTGAGTTCACTCCCTGGTACCAAAGGAAAAAAAAAATTGAATGTTACTTAGCTTATTCCGATTATTCTACTAGTAGATGGTAGAACAGAAAACTACCCTTTGGTCTATCAGATCCCCACAAATACCATGCCTGTTTCCCACCATGATCTTTGTAGCCATTATCAAATGCAAAATGCCACATTTGAAGGCACTTTTTTGCCTGTTAGTGGGAAAAAAAAATGGAGGAGGGAGGAGTGTGGATATAATTTTGTAGCATATAGATAGATTTCTTTAACTTGAATCATCTATGTAATCAAAGTATGCCCATCAAATGGAGGCTTACTGAAGAAATATGGAACCCAGATTCTCTGTTAATATAGTTAGACTGCCAGTAAAGCTCTTGCCAGGCCTTGGAGGGTCTTTTGCCCAGGCTTGTTCCAATACTTGGTACTTTCCTCCCAGGCTTTAGAAAGGGCACATATGAATTTGCTGCTTTGTTTAAAACTTGTCTTTGACCTGCAAATGAATGAGCTAAGTTGGGAACATCCGTGATATGCATGTCTTTAATTAACTCTTACCAGCGTAGTGTATTTCATAAATGATTCTGAAAATACAAATTTAATGATGTTTTGATCAGATTATTTTTTAAAATTTGCACTTTTTTAGGGATAAGACATATGAGGATGTAAGAGATTCTGAAGTCACCTTTTAGCACAAACTCTGTGTCATGATTTGAGCTGAAAGTCAAGGAAAAGTTTTCCCCTTCCTCTTTTCTTATTGTGATTCCATTGGTGCAGTTATAATAGGTTATCATATAAATATTTGTAACTGTTTGACATGTTCACATGAAGAGAGCCAGGGAAAAGTGAATGAACCTCTATTAGAATCGACTAATATTTACATAAGGGCAGAACAAAAGTAATGCATGAATTTACCGTATTTAGTCCAAATCTGTTATTCATGTAAGCATTTCTACATTAGTTATAAGATCTTTTAATAAATACAGTCCAATATTTGAATTTCTTAAGTATTAAATGTTTGGATTTTGCAAAGCTTGGATTAAGCCAGGAAGTCAGGTTCATAATATTTTGCCAGTTGAAAAATCAAGCCCTTGTATGAACAGATGATTTTACTTGACAATACAACAATACCTCCAAAGCTCAATTAATGTAATTGTTCTTTTCTGCTGGCAATAAATTTATGTTTGCTTTTCATGCAATAATTCTTTTCATGCTAGCCAATTGCTGGCACTTTGGGAATTCAATAATTGCTTTATGCTCAAAAATTTTCCTTTTACTTACCTTGAAAGAGGTGTTTTAATTTTATTTATATGAAATCATAACCCAAAGAATCATCTATATTTTTAAACCTATCTAAATTTAGAGATTATTAAATTTTTAAAAAATAATTTTGTTAAATTCCTGTCCTTAGAAAAATAAATCAAGCAGACTTAGTGTCATTGCACTTGCCTAGCATGTGTGAAGCCCTGGGTTTTATCTTTAGCACCACATAAAAAAAATCAAATCAAATAAAGGCCTTCTGTCCATCTACAACTATAAAAAAATTTTAAAATACTATAACTGTCTTAGTGATTGATTTTGTACAGTAAGCTTGGATAAGGGACTTTTTTGTGGGTGACAACTTCAAATTCTAATCTAGACTATTTTAATAGAGAAGCCAAGACTGATATCTAATCTATATGTAAGCAGAAAAGATCTATTGAACAACATGGTGATTACAGTAAATAATGATGTATTGTATACTTGAAAATTGCTAAGAGCAGATTTTAAATGTTTTCAGCACCCCAAAATGATAAGATGTTGATGGCATGATTGAGTCATTCTTCAATGTTTATGTATACAAAAATAATATCTTGTACACTATAAATGTACATAATTTTTACCTGTTAATTAAACAAGTATGTCCCATGAAATACTTTGGATATATTGTTCATGCAAAATGAAACAAAACCACCAGTAGAGCTATAGAGGTTGGTAAAAAGGCTGTGGTCCTGAGTTCTACAGTGGTCCTTCCATTGTAGGTCTCTCTCAGGATGCCTGACCTCTCCATAGTAGAGCAATTAAAGGTTAATGCACAGTTAATGACACAATTAGAGGTTAATGTACAGGCAGCCTCTTGGACCCTGACTCACACTGTGGCTAGGGTCTATTCTAACTGGTTTGTCTTCTATCTTACTTGTTATTGGATATAGGGTATATCAATATTTACTCCTGGATGGACATTAGAAAGATGTATAAGAAAAAAAGTTCAAATGTGTTCTGCAACATTGATGAGAAACTACAATTATGTATGAATAAAATATTATCTGTATTATTATTTCTCAAGGATTGATGTCAGATCAAACATCATTTGCTCAGGGACCCCCTCCTTAAGATCTTCAACTATGTGTCCCCAGGGACCTCTATTCTTTCTATTTTCACTCTTGTTGTTCCTTAATGTATCTGCTTGTATTATGTTGTTTTGACCAGCAGACTGTAAGCTCCATGAAGGTAAGGGCCATGTCCGTAGTCCCAGTGCCTATTATGGAACCTGCTAGTTAAAAGGTGCTGAACAAATATTTGTTGAATATAAATTTTAAGAGCTCTTTCATATAGAATTTTCCTATGAAATTATTTCACCATCGTTTTCTATTGTTTTTTTCCTCTAGCATTAAAAATGTTTGGAAATTAAATGGATCAGTGTCTCTCATTTTGTTAACTTAAATTTGGACACATTTTGTTCTTTTCTTTTTCTTGACATAACTGTACTGCATGTGGTAGTCCCTGTTCCTGATTAAAACTTGTTAACGGAGATCTTCTTGACCTTGGGGAATTGAGAGCTATATAATGACTGAACTGAATAGATTAAATATAATTGAAGGCTCAGTTATTATTTGAAGATAGATCTATGTCCTATGATATTAAATCTCAATCTTCCTTTCTTATTTCTCATTGTCCTTTCTTTGTACCAATCTCCAGCAAACAACCTTTTTTAAAGAATCAGTATAAAATACAATACAGTATATACAATTCACAGTAGCATAGAGCATATTTTTTGTTTAATGAGACAAGGAATGTGTGATGATGGAAGGCTATTTCTACCAAGGATAGGGACTGGTATTTTTATACATATGGTTATTCAAGTCACATTGTTTTTATAGGACAAAATGGATAATAAAGACAATAGTTGAAAGAGTAAAAGTCAAGGTGAGAAAAGGTAGATTCTAAAGACTGAAGTATGAATCAAGAAAATTTCCTGGGCTGGGGATGTGGCTCAAGCAGTAGCGTGCTCACCTGGCATGCGTGCTGCCCGGGTTCGATCCTCAGCACCACATACAAACAAAGATGTTGTGTCCGCCGAAAACTGAAAAATAAATATTAAAAATTCTCTCTCTCTTTCTCTCTCTCTCTCTCTCTCGCTCTCTCTCTTTAAAAAAAAAAAAAAAAAGAAAAAGAAAATTTCCTTTTGGGTACAGAGAAAATGATGGGGGTCCTACTCTAAAGGAAGGAACCATGAGAATGTCTTCAGGTACAGACTTTGTTTTACTAAAGAATGAAACATTATCTAAGTAGCTGTTTTTTAAAAAACTACCTAACAGAGATAGCAAGCTGGAAGCCACAAAGATTATGACACAAATTGGGTTGTAAGAATACACAATTAAATGGCATATGTCCAAGTAGGACAGTAAGTTGAAAGAAAAAGGAGATCTTGACAGTGCTGCTAAGCATTATATTAAGCAAGTCCTAGCCTTTCTAGGACTACTATCTTATAATATTTAATTTCTAAAGTTCCTTCTGGCTTGAACATCTCATAATTTTGGTTTTGTGATCAGATGAGACTTAGACAATAGGATTATTTCTCAATTTGTGTGCTGCTAGGGTCTGAATGCTTGTCCCTTTAAAATTCATATCTTGAAATCTAATCCCCAATGTTATTATTAAGAGGTGAGTCCTTTGTGAAGAGATTAGGTTATGAGGTTGGAGCCTTCATGGTTAGAACCTTAGGAAGAGGGAGTGTGTTTCCCCCTTTTACCCCGTGGGGATGCAGCAAGAAGTTACCATCTTTGAAGCAGAGGGGAAGCCCTCATCAAACACCAGATCTGCTGACACTTTCATCTCGGACATCTAGCCTCCAGAACTGTAATACATTTGTTATTTATAAATTACTCAGTCTTCAGAATTTTTAGCAGCCCAAAAGGACCAAGAAGTCTATAAAGAGAAGTCTTCAGATAAATTCAGAGGAATCCAAATGGTGTGCTTATGCATAAGAAAAATCCCAGAGCCCATATAGAAAGGAAATCCAGGATGGGTAGTTCTTCAGTCATTGAGTGAAGTGCCTTTGGTAAAAGTACTTTTTTTGGATTATGTACTTAAACTTATGGTTCTTAAAACCAGAATGGAGGTGTCACAGGCTGCACTAATTTTATACTCGTTTTAAACTGTCCCAACAACATGTCTGCATCTAAACGTATCCTTCCAAAGATCCTTCCATATGTGTATGTGATGTAACATGTGACTAAATTAGTCAAGCTCACTCCAGGTGAACTGGGCTGGCATGAAATAATCACACAGACAAAATCCCTTTTTATTTGGGTTCAGTGACGGGTCCTCAGCCACACATCCCACAAGGGGGGCAAGGTAGGCAAGAAAGAGGAGCACATTCTGGAGCCCTTTTATTGGGGGGAAGACATTCGAGAAAGTTCCACCCCAAATGAGGCAAGGGGTCAGGTTTCAAGGGGTTGACTCCAGCTTCTTGATGTCTTGGGGTCAGTAGATTGACATCTTGGAAGGCCACGCCTATCTCATTGGGTAATGCACACTCCCAGAGCTGCACCTCTCTTGCCCAGCACAGGTAAGTCCACATGCATTACAAAGGGTGCAATGCCTGTCCAGTACCCCTTTACTCCAGACTTAAAGAGGTGTGCTCAGTTGGTACAGTGCTTGCTTCACATGCACAAGACCATGGGTTCAATCCCCAGCACCACCAAAAAAAAAAAGAGGTATGCTCAGCTCTTGTTCAGGGCAGCCCCCAACATGTATGAATGTGTGTGTGTGTGTGTGTGTTTGTGTGTGTGTGCGCGCGCGCGCCAAGTGTGCTTAAATGTCCAAGAAAGAAAAATCTTCAGATACAAAAATCCCAGAGGGAGCCTAGAGCAGGGGGTATAGTAGGAATCTATATGACAGCCTCCCTAGGGCTTTAGTTGAACAGAAATGGTTAGAGGCCTAGAGTGCTAGAGATAAGGCCTGGTGGTGGGGGTGGTGAGGGTGGTGAGGGGGGATTGGGACCTCTGGAGGGATACCATCTCAATGAAAAAATGAACTAAAAATTCCATACCTAATTTTACTTCTTTTACTTTAGGAGTCTTGTTAATGAAATCAGTTCCTAAGCCCACATGTTGAAAATTCGGGCCTACTTTTTCTTCCATTAGGTGTAATGTCTCTGTTCTAATGCCTAAGTCCTTGATCCATTTTGAGTTTTGTGCAGGGTGAGAGATAGGGGTTTAATATCATTTTGCTACATATGGATTTCCAGTTTTCCCAGCACCATTTTGTTGAAGAGGCTATCTTTTCTCCAATGTATATGCCAATCCCCCAAACCAAAGGCCTTTGCTCTGTTATGTGTATGCTAATTCACAATAGTTGCAGGTAGGGGGTGGGGGTGGAGTGGGGGTGGTTTGGAGGAATATAAGTATTCTGGATTAGACAAAGGGGAATGAAGGTAAGGGAGAGGGAATGAGAATAGAAAAGACAGAGAATGAATTGGACATTACTACCCTATGTGCATAAATTATTACATAACCAATGTAATTCTACATCATGTACAATCAGAAGAATGAGAAGTTATACTCCACGTGTCAAAATACATTCTACTATCATGTATAATTAGAATAAAAAAATTTTAAAATTCCATAACAGCACAAAGATGCTTAATCTTCACTTTAGTTCTGAGTCCAAATAAACGTCTCTCTTGAGAAACCAAAACCTCAGGCCTGTTCAAGTTCAATAATTGAATTTGTCTTAAATCATATGGTGAGCCAAACCATAAGCTGAGAAATTATGATAAAAACCTGGTTCTAGGGGTGATACCTCAAGGGTACATAATAGGAGCAGATGTAAAACCACTCTGAAGGGACATTTCACCAATCCAGGTTACAGGGATTTACTCAGAAAAGTAAGATTCAGCTAAGATGAGCTCATAACAAAACATTACAAGTGGTAAGGAAAGAAAATGGTCCCTCATGAGGTAGAGCTTACAAACATAAGGAATATGGGAACTTTCAGCCTCGTACTTGAGATTATAAACAGTTTAACATGATTTTTCCCAAAAGACTACATAGAAACATTAACAAAATAAGACACTATGAAAAAGAATAGGTAGATATAAACAAGTACAAATAGACCTTCCAAAAAGGAAAATAGTTGCTGAAATGAGAAACCAAATGGATTATAGAGCAGATTAGATACAGCTGAAGAGACCTTAAAGTGAACTGGATGATAGATTTGAGGAAACTACTCAAAATATAGCACAGAAAAATGTGAACATTTATATTTCCTATAAAAAAGCTATTTTATGAGCTGTTTTAACCTTAGAATATCTTGCAGAAGATGAGGCAGTAAAATTGAATATCTGAGCTCTTCTGTAAAAAAGTGGCACTAGGATAATACCATGAAATATGGTAGCCATTAGACATCTTTGCTATTGAGCACTTAAAATGTGGCTGACTGAGGAACTGAATTTTACTTTGTTAGTGTTGGGATTTGAATCCAGGATCTCACATTTGCAAAGCATGTGGCTTATCATTGAACTCCACTCATTTTAAATATTTCCTTTGATTACTTTAAATTAAAAATTTTATATTTGATTTAGTTATTAGAAAAAAATTATATTTATAACAACTTGGGAGGTAAATATGCATATGAAAAATAATTTTTTTGATAAAAATTTAGTGTCTGAATTGAGATGAATGTCAGTATAAAATATATACTGAATTTCAAAGACTTAGTATAAAAAATAGGTAAATTACTAATTTTTAAAATAATTGGACATGCTGAAATAAAACTTTGGATATTAAATCAGACATATTAATAAGATTAATTCCCCATAAAAAACTGCTATTAGGAAAGTTAAAATTATACATATGACCCACATATTTCCATTGGCCAGCACTGTACTAGAACATAAATTCATAAAACATAAAATGTTTGATAGTCCTCCACATCTAAAAATCTAAAATGCTGGATATTGGAGAGAGGCAAGTGGGGAATTTAAAAATTCATGTGAAGACAGCTCTTGCAGTTATAGGAAGCTATAGAATCAGAGAGTTATCTCTTTAACTTATTGCCATTAAATATGAAGCCATTCCAGGGGTTTTGGCTGTAAGTCTATTCTATTCTATTTCTATTCCCTTAAGTTCCAGACAAAATTGTAGTGTTTAGGTTTAGAAAAGTAGAAGGTATAAACATAAACACGCACATATATTTTTTTGACCAGCTAAATTTCTCTATGGCTTTGTGTATTTCAAATAGTCTAGATTTTTAAATGTATAAGATAAATTTGGGTCTCTATTTCAGGTGGTTCTCATCCTTAGTGCAATCTTGCTAAATGATCATTTGGGAATTTTGCCAAAAGTTTTAACTTTGATTTAGGAGGTCTGTCTTGGAAACAAGAATTGTGCATTTTAGAAAAGCTTCCCAGGGATTTCATAATGTGTGTGTTTGTCTATATCTATTTATCTATGTATCAATCATCTAATTTTTACTGTTATCTCGTTAGTTCATTCAGTTTATTACTCACAGATTAAACCAACATTTCATAACATAAATTCTGAACCAAATGCTGTGATAGACAGCTTCCTACTATTGGATCTTCTCTTCCTCTCAGGACCCTTAGTACTTGCTTTGTTTATTCTGTATTTAATTAATTATTTTATGATTCACTAGGAATGCTGGCCTTGATTTTAACTGTAGTCCTATTCAAATATGTAAAAATTAAAAAATACATGTCTCTGATGAAATATGGCATCAGTGTTACCCAGGTTTCACCTTGAGACCCACATTTAAGACTACTGATGGATATTGTGCCCTGGATGCCACTTCACCCCATACCTGAATTCATCATGGCTCCTGTAACTATCTATTGCTTTCTTCTGAATTTTATATCTGGGTAGCAACACAATCCCCAGCTGATTCTGATGCAGATGATCAGTTCACACTAGTCTTCGAGGATAGCTTCTGTAATTTCTTGGTGTGTGATCTTTATGGCTGCCATTCAAGGGTTTAAGACTTCACTGTTGATGTTTTCTCTTAGGTTTTACAATCAACAATAAAAAATTAAAAAAAAAAAAAAAGAAAAAAAGAAACACATGTAGTAGAAACTACATGTTTCTACTCAGAAATAAGCCTGTTTGATGCTACTCACAGTTCTTTATCTTAAATTTGTTTCCTTAAGACAAAATATCCCCAGCTTGTGCTTCAATATTGAATGTCATTCAATTACATCTTTTGCTAAACCATCACTTTTATTCTAACTTTTAGGAAGGAAATCTATCCTGGTGTGAAAAAATAATCTTGAGACTTTTTTGTTTTTAATGCTAGAAAAGAACCCCATTTGTTTGTGTACACTAAAATTGGGTGTAACCATGACCTAGCATACCACTAAATGCTCTAAGGGTACTTACTGCCTTGTATTTTTATCATTTAATTAGAATAAATATATTACTAAGTATACTGCACCCACAACTAAAGCATCATATTTTTTCTATACGACACATTTAAATCTTCAAATGGTTTACTCTGGTGTCTCAACAGACTTCAGACTTACAAGGAAAATAACAAAGAATATTTCAACCACACTGTCTACAAAAAAATGTTTTATTCAAAAATAGGATCTTTTCAAAAAAGAGAAAACTTTTATATACAGTTACTTAGTTTAGAAACAGTCAAAAAACAATAGAATAAATCCAGATTAAGAAATTATGATTTGTAACATATACAATACTGGTGCTGAATTACAGTTTAAATGTATGAATTCTTTTTGTTCCATCACATTTCAATAATTCACATTTGTTTTACCAGTGATTGGGACTAAGGGAAGGTCTTGTCCGAATTCTTTCCTCTTATTTGCCACCCTTCCTGGGCAGACACAAAAATGGCAGGATCTAGGCAGTGTGCTTCTATCTCTTTGTGTGCCTGTATATCAAAAACTATACCTTCTTCATCTTTATCCTCTTTTACTATTTTCTTCTTTGAAATTTATTTGTATGTGGCTACAGAGCCTGGTCATATTTTTAAATTTAAAAATGGAAGCTCTCTAAGGGAAAGGAGCATGCACATGACTCAGAGCTTAATGCTCTTAGGTTATCAACATTCAACATGATTTTGCTCTTCAAGTCAGTACTCTGCATAGCTATAACCAATCTGATATAGACTTAAAACAGGAGAAAGGGCTTGAAAAACTTAAGTACTATAGCTACTATATTTCAGAGGCTACCTTGATTTCATAAGCTGAAATTTTTATTCTCAAACTGGTAAAGTCTAGCCACCTTGTAGCATTATTTTTTTTTTCAAAGATTTTGAAAGAAGTTTAGTATTTTTCAATCTTAAAAAGTTGGGTTGTATGTAAAATCAGAATAATTTTAAAGACAAAACATAACTTCAAAGAAATTACAAACTGACATTTTGGAATATGCCCTCATACCTTAAATTCTAGAAGGAGTATTTTAGTAGTAACATTGGTGAAACAATGACCTTAGGAGATCCTGATTTCTGGAAGTGTAGCCAGGTCCTTACTGAGAATGAATAGTAATGAAATTCAAAGCCTTGGTGCATTCTGTTGAGTTCTATCTTCAGAAATAATATAACTCTTTGCTTATAATAGCTCTGTCTGTACTGATCAGTTAGAAAGTAGAGAAAAGAATTCTGGGCTGATTTTTATTTTACACTGTTAAAAATTAGAGGAATGCTACAGTCAAAGAAGGTTAGTGACCTACAACTAAAAATATGCAACATATGTCATAAAAAATAGTGGAACCCATGAAGCCAAAGGATTAGAACTTGACGCACTAAAAAGAATGGGAACAGTAATTGTGGGTGGTTTTATCCTTCTTTCAAACACATATTAAATTATATCATCCCTGGTCTTTACTGCCCTTTTGAATGGGTAATTATATGGTACCTTTTGGAGTCATTAATTACATTATTTCCCCTAGAATCCCTAAACCACTAGGGATTCTTTCTTGACCTCAAAGAGATCTTTTCAGTAATGCCATGGGGACAAACCCCAACTGCCTGCCAACAACAACTACTCATTGAATAGTCAACGGTCATTCTTTGTATAAATAAAATCTATAAACAACAAAATAAAGTTGCCAATGAAATTAAACGAAGCAAATTTATAAAGCTTTTTTTAAACAATGGGTCAACTTCATAAGGAAAACATTATGTATAAATCAAGTTGTCATCCAACACATTTAATAATTAAATATAGTTAAATATGACATTGGATCAAAAATGATCCTAGATAGTTTCAGGACTAATCCCATTAATCCCACAATTTAATGAGACCATCCCAGCCACATGTAATGACTTTAGATGTTTCATGAGGATGCCACACTGCACCTATACACACTTTATCATGAGCTTTAAAGCGGCTATAGAGTTTTGTGGTCTTCCAGTCCCAAATGTTTAATTTTCCATTTCCATCTCCTGAGATCACATAGCTGCAACAGGAAGAAAAATTCAAAATTATTGTTTTTCAAATACCTTCAACTGGTGAAGTAGATGAAGAACACAGGCAGATCTCATTTTTTTAATTTAACATAAAAATATCATGGTAAATATACAAAACTCAGAATAATAAGGTAGAACATGAAGCCGTCTATAATTTGAACTTCTACAAAAATACTTCCCTATTGAGCTACCAAAGAGTAGAAAATTATTTTTAGCTGGGAACACTGGGAATCCCAGGGGCCATAATAAATGACACATAACAGTCTCTGAACAGTCAAAATAGTGTAGAAGAACCAATTTCACATACATTCAGTGAACATACTAGATACATTCTATCACAGAGAACTTTACTATCTTCATAATTACTTTCTATCTTCAATATCCTTTGAATAAATCTAAGATTGAGTCACAGGTAGAAATCTAAGGCACAATTATAGGGATTTCTGAATTATCTCTACCTTTTTTATATATTTTAATGAAGAATGGGGAAAGGAATATGGAATTTCACTCTTAACAAGACTGCAGGCTTCATGAATTAAGTGTGATCTAGAAATATTCAAAAGCTGGATTTCAGTTTTTAGCGCAGATAAGCTACAATAAAGTTTTTCCCTTCAACATTATCATATAGAATTAATTCTTCTGGTATTCACTCAATCATAGTCATACAGTAATTGTAATACTCCTAGCCAGCTTAGAAAAGCAAAGAGAAAATAAAGCATTGTTGATACAGACAGGGATTTATAGGTGGTTAAAGGGCACAGGCCTACGTAATAGTGTGTGGTTTTTTGTTTTTTATCTTATGGTGCTGAGGATTGAACCCAGGGCTTTGTGCATGAGAGACAGGCACAACTGAGCTATATCCCCAGCACCAGGTCTAAGTAATATAAGGATAAAACCTATAGTAAAACCTAAAGAAAAGCAAAATATAATTTTCATAACTTGTTATTGCCTTTTTATCTGGCATTTTGATAGATTACACGTTCTCATACAATTAAATATGTGAAAATGATTTCTGAAGTATTGTTACTTGTACCTGACAGTTTAGGTATCATATATCTGAACATGAGAATAAATCAGAAGATTTAAACTTACCTCATGTCTGGTGAAAAGTCCACTTGACATGCATAGCCTGCTACCATATGTCCCTTAAAAATTTTTTTCTTATTTAATCTGAATCTGTTCTGTGCTCCAAAAATTAAGATTTGGTTGTCCATTGATTGACATGCTAGCCATTTCCCTGTAAAGTCAATAAATGACACATTTTAGAGAAAGACTAAAAAAATTAAAATAAAAACTTTATTTTAAATATGTTTGCTGTCATTATTATTTTTTGTTCCCAAATACTTTATTATACTAGAAAAAAAACTTACCATGTTATCCATTAAGTGTGAAAAATATGTCACTGTTAAGAGTTATTTATATATTAAGTAATGAATTCTGCTCCTATGATCCTATTATCATTGAGTACTCTTCAAATAAAAGGAAACACAGAAGTTCCAAGCTTAGTTTTAATAGGAACAAATTAAATTTATAAAATGAAATTAATTTGTAGTTGCTACAGATAACAGAACCAAGGAAAAATGTAACCTATTTCTGACAAGTATGAAATAAAAAAGATCACACTGGTAAGAAAATCTCTGATTATCAAATAAACAGCTCCAAAAAATATGATTAACAAAATTACAGTAATTATTTTTAAAAGTGCTTTTCTGTACCCAGGATTCAAAGCCCTTAAATCCTAAACTACAATATTTACTTGTGTCTTATACATTTGTAAACATTACTAAGAAAAGTTCTAACCCTGACCTTGTTCAAGATGGGTATGAACATGATAAGAAAAGTACATAATATTGTGATTACCAAAGTAGGATCCAGTTAAGGTTGCTCTTCTCAGAAGAATGATAGGGCACTTAATAACTATTTTCACTCTGCCTGTGGCAGATGTACCGATGGAGGAATAGACTCTTCTTTGTCTCTATGACCTTGTTCTACACTTACAGTAGTTATGTGAGTTAACAGTGGCTTCAAAGATGATGTTCCCCAAATCTCAGACCCTTTACTTTAATATCCTCATGTAGAGCAATAATCATATCAATATATTTTCAGTATGTCTGAAGCACAAATTATATTTCACTTAAAAGACAATGGATTATTGAATAGGAAACAGTACTAAATAATTTATCTTTTTCATATTTTTACTTGAGAAAATCCTAATAAATTGCTAAGATGTTCTCAGTAGAGTAACTCAGACCAAAATTCCCTATCCTCTTGAAAGCAAAGAGCTTATTAAATAATTTAATGAACCTGATTCTATTGGGAGATTAAAACAACAACAACTACAAAACCCTAGTCATATAGAATTCTTAGATGCTCAGTCAATGTTACCTAAAAACTGTTTATTTTTTCAAAACAAGAGAGTGGGTGAGGTGACTCACATATGAAAACCAGCAATTATTTCTAATATTGAAAAGATTTCCTTATATGATACTAAAATAAATTTCCCCCAGGAGGGAATGGCCAAAGTTCCTATGAATATAGCAATTAGACTATCCCGTTTTAGGAGCTCGTTTAAGATCACATTCTATGTATAAACTTACCATTTGGAGACAAAGTCACTGCAGGCATTGAGTGCATACTGGGTTCTGCTATATACTTGAAATCCACAGGGATATCCCTAAAATTTAAAAATAGCATATCAGAATAAGTAGTTAAGACAATAAAACCTTTAGCAGGAAAATTATCTCTGAAATGGAGGTATAGTATTAAAGTAAAAGCAAACTCTTGAAATGATATATTTATTAAACCTTTTCATTAAACTTTCTGGAGGAAGGAAAATCACAAAATGATACTGTTTTGCTTATTAAAGCTTTTTACTTTATAAATGATTTTCCATGAAATATTTTATTTTCAAACTCTGAAAATTCAACTTTGACCTTAATATTTTTTTTAAAAAAATTGTTATATTTAATAACTCATCATAAAATGTACTATGGTAAGTCAAAACAAGATGTCTGTGCAAGCCTACAAGGAATGTTCTTTTAACTCAGCAATGCAAACAGACAGCAGACAGAGCTATACGGATCCGTGTGCTGGTCTATTCCATCTAGAAATAATGACCAAGTCTAGGGAGATTAAGTGCTTGATACCTAGACTATTTTCAAAATATATGCTGAACATTTCAAAAGGGTATGGTGGGAAAAAAAAGCATTAAAAACAAAACCAAAAAATTTCATGTGAGTGATACAAAGGATAAAACAAAACCAATAAATTTGCAAAACCAGTCACCTAAATTTAAAACCATTGAAAATTCTAACTTTTTCATTTTTACTATTCTTCATAAAAAATTATATCAGGGCTGGGGTTGTGGCTTAGTGACAAAGTGCTTGCCTAGCATGCATAAGGCACTGGGTTTGATTCTCAGCACCACATATAAATAAATGAATAAAATAAAGGTCCATCAAAGTCTAAAAAAAATATTAAAAAAATATCATAATTCTAAAAGGCGTTTTGATCCTGTTGTTTCTCATAAGAATTTTATTTTTTTTTAACAGAGTAATATCTGGGAAATATAATCTGATGAATAAAACAAAAATAAAATAGCAATTTCAATTTCAAGTTACAATTCAAGTTCTAATACTTTGATTAACTAGAAAATAATAATAATGATAACAAGATACTTTGTTTCATGTAAGAGTTTTCTCTATCCATTTATATAGCCATCTGAAAGAAGAAACAAATGATTAGAGAAAACTTCTCTTCAGGTCTTGGTTAGAGGGAAAAAAAAAAATCCCAGGCATAAAAAGGGGAATAACACTGTCAGATCACCAATCTCAGACCTCTAAGGCAGCAGTGAAATCTGACAGCTACTAAAATAAAAAAAAAATAAAAAAGCCTTGGTCAAAAAAGAATTTGTATTTTCCCTCCTCGTATTTATTATTAGTTGCTAAAAATTTTATGTCATGGATTGAAAAATGAGGGCATTTTCTAAGTTAAATTGACCGTATTTCAGATTCATATTAATCAATGTTTTACTATACATAAACAAAAAAATCAAATGGACCTTTATTTTAAGGAATCTTGGTACAACAAAGTTTAGAACAACAATTGAATCTGAACTCCTCTGTGGTCTTCATTACTTCTAGTAGAAATGTCTGCTAGGCATAGTTAAAATTAATAAACCAACACTTTTCTAATTAGATACTGCAATGCAGTATAATAAGCTAGTAACTCATCTTCAAATAATCTTCAGTTTGGAAATGTATTCATAAAAAAAAGTAACAAGTCTACAAAATTTTAAAAATAAAAGATAAACAGTGTTTATCAACCTCTGTAAAATTTCTTTTTAAAAGTATTTTACAGAAATAAATACCTTTGGGAGAAAACATGACAATGACATTTCATGCATTTATCGAGTTAAAATGCCATATTTGCTGAATATTGAATATAAACTCCAATTCTCCTTCAGAACTACATAATAGTCTTAGTTTCTGATTGTGCTGTTTAAGAAAGCCAAGGTTCCTTTGGTTTGTTTTCTTTCCTCATTATGCTACTCTAAGCAGGAAGAGGGAAGATAAGCTTGGTAAGCACCACTTGTCTAAAGGCCCTGGTGCTGTTAATTTTCCTGGGGTCAGCTCTCACTTTGAGGAGATGATGACCTCCCTTCTACGCAAGCCACCAGTATCATTAGTAATTACTCTTGGTGGTGGCTATAAGACTTCTGGGGATCCTGAGCTTCCTATTTGCCTTTGTGACAAGACTGATCCTCACATTCTCTATCAGTTCCTTCATTCATCTAACTGCTCAGCCACATAATTAAGAACTCGAGTTTTGGAATATAATATAACTAAGATCTCAAGTTTTGGAATCAGTTTGGCCCAAGTTTGAATTCTGGCCTTTTCCTGTCCTATATAACCTTGGGCAAATCAATTAAACTGTTTCAGTTTTCTTTTACAGAAAATGGGAATAAAAAAGTACCTATCTCATAAGATTGTACATTAAGTCAGAGTTCAAATAAAACACTTAGCATAGATAGTGACTGGCATATAAAAAGGGTTCCATAAATGTAACAGCACTAATGATTCAACAACAACTACTATATTAAGTCAGGGTTAATTGAAAATCTCAAGGATGTCATTATTTGTAACAAAACAGTATCATGACTTTCTAGCAGTATTGAGAGGGATAAAACACTAACATTTAAATATTTACCGATTTGTTTTATACCACTCTACATTTAAAAAGGGAAATGAAATGTCATCTGAAGGTAGAAACATCTAAATGTTTAAGTATAAACAAACTGTTAACATACATAAAATAAAACATGTATGTTTAAGAAAGAGTACTGGGGCTGGGGTTGTGGCTCAGAGGTAGAGCGCGGGCCTAGTATGCGTGAGGTTCTGGATTTGATCCTCAGCATCAAATAAAAATAAAATATATTGTGTCCATCTATAATTAAAAAAATAAATATTAAAAAAAGAAAGAGACTGTGCAAATGATTTAAGATGACTTATGTAAAACTTGGTGTCCAAATGGCATGTCAGATCTTCTCTTATGCTTTAATGAGTTACTGTCTTCATGGTTTTCAGATTCTGAAATACTAATTGCTTTTGTGCTAATTGCTTACAAAAAAAGTAATGCTTTGCTATCTTATTTACTGTTGTCATTATATGATCCCTGCTCTATGTATGCCTTTTCCAGCCACCCACCAATGGCTACCATGGATATCTGAATTGCCCTGATGCTAAATACCCTAAGTGTCCATGCCCCACCGGACAGAATAGAGAATAAGGACTTTGGGTCACTTCCCTCAATTTTGCAGCTTGGAGATGTCATTGTCCATTTTTCCAAAGAAATGGAATGAAGAAATTCACAATGGGAAAATGTGACAGTCATCCACTTTATGCTTTGAATATATAGCCCCTGCTGTTCTGCCATTGAGACTTATTTTTAAAATAAGTCTCTTCTTGATGTGATCTCTCCTTTCTGATCTTCTTCCCCCTGATCTCCTCATCCCTAATCTTCCCCTCCCTAATTTTCCCTACCTAATCTCTCCAAACAGGATTCCTTTTGAATCACCTCTTTAATAACCCCTTATTCCCCCTGATGGGCAGAATCACAGCCTCTGGGACAGGAATTCCCTGGGTTTCTTCTTTGCTAGCAAAGCAATAAAACTTATTTTCCTTTTTCTCAAGAAAACAAAAGCAAAAAACTTGGTGTTCATATCTAGATTCTCTATAAGAAACATCATTTCTTAAGTAAGAAAGCTTTAGTTATGAGGCAGTCTTAAACCATGGACCTTAAGAGTGGTGTTATATGCAATTATAAAGTACAATCAACTCTACTAGTTGGGAATAACTTGGATAAATGTGGTAGTGGTGAGGAGTGCTAATTCTTCAATTATTAAAACTGTCCTGACAATGATTAGGGCCTACTCAGCTCTCCAAAAGGATGTACACTGAGGAGGAAATCAAATTCAAAACTTCCCACTTTCCTAAAGTGTAACAACTTCTGAGGGTAGAAAGATGCAATTTCTAGTCCTTGCAAGGCTATAATCATAGTTGAATTATGCTTCATAAATGGCTACAAAAATAAGCTGGGTTCCATCTACACATTCATTTTAACCAAAAGATTATCATGTATTTCTTTACAACTTAATTATATGAAGTTATAAAATATATAATATTTATAATTATAATATAATATTTATATTTAAATTATAAAACATGATCTATGACAGTCAATGAAACTAGCTTCAGTATTTTGGACTTTAGAAAAATGATTTTTTTCCCCCTAGGAAAGCAAAAGTAACCAATATAGTCTGATTATATTCTATAATTAAAACATCTGTACAAGGACGATGATATGGGACAACTTTCAATATTGAATAATCAAAAAAAAAAGACATTTAAGGAACGGAGAAATAATGAGTATTTTCTTTGAGTTTCTTCTGAGGCATAATCCCTACATAACCAATATAGCCTATATATTTGTGGCTCCTACTTCTTATCAGCCAATTATTTTGCAAAGATGAATAAAATAACTAATAAACAATGTAAGATAGCACAATTTAATGTCTATCATCACTATATGACAAGCACTCAAGTAAATATTCTTTGGATATTTATTACAGTTGAGTATTCTTTGGAAAGATTATCCAAAAACTGTGAAGACAGCCTGTTTAGAGTTTATGTCTGAATTATGGGTACTTAAATAGTTAACACACTGATTGGCAAGCCAGGATCACAGCTGTAAAAATATTTAAATAACTGCCTATTATCAGGCTTTGTCTTTGGCTACATATTTTTAAAATTGCTTGTTTTGTATAAAGCAGTAGATTTTCTTTTCTTTTCTTTTTCTGGTACTGGAGGTTGAAACTAGAGTCGTGTGTGTTAGGTAAGCACTAAGTTACATCCCCAGACCTGTTAAAATTTTTATTTTGAGACCGGATCTCACTGAATCACCCAGGTTGGCCTGAAACTTGCTATCCTTCTGCCTCAGCCTCCCAAGTATCTGGGATTATAGGTATGTGCCACCGTGCCTAGCCAAAGCAGTAGATATTTTACTGATGGAAACTCACCATTCCCAAACTCTTAGGCTCTTATCATCAGATGTGCTCACAAATCTCCTATTCTCATCAACAAAAACAATGGTGTTGACAGCTCCCAAATGCCGATCATATTCCTGCACAATTTCTCCACTTCGAATGTCCCACTGGATAGCAAACAAGAGCAAAGGTAAAAACAGAGATATAATTTTGGACAGTGGAAATGAAAAAGATCTCTAAGATGTTTTTATAAATTGACTGTTTTCTACTAATAGATACTAACAGAGTATCAGTAATCCCTACAAGTAGCAAATATTAAATGTGCTAACATTCTGTATTCCACTCCTTGATACAGCATAAAGCTCAGAAAGCTTAATAAAAATACTGAAGGAAAAGACTTACTTGCACAATCTTTTTATCAGACATCCCAGCCACAAAGAGATTTTGTTTATCTTCATCAGGATTGAATTTGACACAATAGGGTACTTTTCGGTTTGTAAATCTTGATATACACTGTCCTAAAACCAAAGATTCAAATTAAATAAAAAATAACGCTTAAGGATGACACTGGTATTAAGATCTATGGTCATTTGCTTAATACATTTTGAGGAAAGGCAGCTTGCTGCTGCTGCTTCTTTTTTTTTAAGATGGACACAATATCTTTACTTTTTAAATTTATTTTTACATGGTGCTGAGGATCAAACCCAGTGCCTCACATGTGTGAGGCAAGCACGGTACCACTGAGCTACAACCCCAACCCATGCTTATTCTTTGTTATAAACTACATTGTTCCTTTTCATATTTTCCGGTACTGGGGATTGAACCCAGGGCCTCATGCATGCTAGGCAAGTGTTTTGCCACTAAGCTATATCCCCAGACCCTTTCCATGGATTTTTAATAATTAAAAATAATTTTTCAAAAGTATGTCTGTGCCATCAATTGTTGAATAGATGAATATAATTTCATCCATATAATGGAATATTTTGAGCAACAAAAAAGAATAAGTAATTGGCACAAGCCTTATGGGTAAATCTCAGATACTATTTTGTGTGAAAATAGATACAAAAGAGAAATTAGTTTATACAAGTTCATAGATACAGTTACCAAAAAGCAAAATGAAAACCACTGAACATTTATGCATTTTATAAATTTCATGTATATTATTCCTTGACTTTAGAAAATCCCTTAGAGTGGGAAGCTCTCAGCCCTGGCTATACAGTAGAAGCACCTAGTCCACAGCCTGGACCAATCATATAAGGACCTCTGAAGGTTGGACCCAGGTATCAATAATTTTGAAGCTCTTCAGATGACTACAATGTACAGCCAGAATTGAGAATCACTGCTAATGAGGTGAAGAACATGGACTTTGGCATCAGAGACCTTGGTTTGAACCCAACTGTGACTAGCTGTCTAATCCTAGAAAGTTATTTTTAAGCCTCAGTTTTCTCATTTATAATGTAATACTAGTACATACCTCACAGAGATATATTAAGATTACATGACATACTGCATATCAATGCTTAGTGTAATTGGTAAATATTAGTTATTATCAATAATCTTTAAACTCAGTAAGATAAAAGATAATTTTCTAATAGTATAAAATTATAACGGCCACAAAATACTGGTGCAATTAATATGGTTACAAATATGTAAAACCAACTGGTCAACAGGAATTTAAACCTACATTTTAATTAATTTGAGTAATTAAATTTAATTCTACTTATAGACATTTATGTAGTTTCTTTATATATAATGTACCATGCTAGGAAACATATGAGAACAAAAAGATCAATTAGATGGTCTAGAGAATATTTCCAATTTGCTTGTCCATCAACATGTTTACTTTATAAATTGTATGTAGTAGGAACAGTTTCATAGTGAAAGAGCTGCTTATATAAATGAGCTTTAACTCAAACATATTTCGTGATATTAACTGATAGTCAATGGTGGGACAATCAGCAGTGAGAGGAGGTGCCATTTTGTTGGAGTCAGCTCACACTGTTTCATAAATGCTAACTTAGAAGACAAAGGTGTCTTAGTTTTAGTGCATTCTTACCTGTTTCAGTATCCCAGAGTTTAAGATATCTGTCATAGGCTGCACTAAGGAATTGCGTTCCTGCAGTATTGAAGCAGATGTCCCTAACAGCTTTACTGTGACCTAAAGGCAGAGGCAACAGAAATGGCAGTGACATCAAAATTTGTATCTTTAGAAACAGCATTAAACAGTGGTTCCCAAGGAAGGAAGTGAGTCAAGATCATTGAACCCATCTTCTGATTTACTGACTTACAATCCAATATGGGTGTGCAATGAAGAGTGGGAATTTTTCTCCCTTCCAGATGCTCCTCAGGTGATTCTAATATATAATGTTTGGGTAAGAACCAAGAGAACAAGTCTTAAGTTCTTCTTCTTTTTTTAAAAATTTGTAATGAGAATCTCTTAATATATAGTACAGACAAATGATGACTAACCAGCCAAGAATTTATCGAACCATAATTGACTGATTATTGCCAATGAAAACAAATGATGATGAAATTTGGGGGTTCACTATCAGGTTGCTCACCAGGCTGGCAGTGAAAATAAAATGACTTAAACCTAAAGTTCAGGAAACTGTAGCCCTTGTTTGATAAATGTATGTTTGGATAATTATGATCATATTACCAAATTTTATAGAAAATGATTCAGACTCTCACAGATGAATGAACAATTTAAATATGAAATAGTTCTCATTTTAAGATAGCTTTTTGAGAATAAATTAATTTTAAGGTACTGATTATGTTTTAGTTAGAAATCAATCTTGCCAGAATCAACTCTTTTGAAAGTTAACAAACAAAAGGTAGCTAAACAAAAGCAGAAACTTTCCTATTTCTCACCACACCTACCATGACCAAGCCATGTACAGTTGTACATAATGTGTATGGCACAAATTGTCAACCACATGTAGCAACCCTGAGCCTGGACTACCACTGAACTCTAGTCAGGCAGTATGCACCATGGCAATTAGAAATTCTTTTCTACAGCAAGAGTCCCAGTCAGAGCTGCTGTAATCTTCCTACATAAGAGAATTTCAGTTTTCTACTGAAAAATGGTCTGCCAGTACAGGGGAGGCAGATGGAGACCAAACCCACTATATCTGACAGAGACATTTTGTTCCCTGACACAGCTAACAGCTTTCCATAAGTCTTCCTTTAGGCTGCATGCATAGTACCTTGGATGGTATTTATTTGCAGAGTTCCTAAAATCTTAACAAAGCACAGCAGAACAGACTCCCACTTTAATCTAAAAACAGAGCCACCACGACTTACACAAACAGAGTTTCAATGTGGTTTGGTTAAATTTGGAAAGAGTAATGAGCTTTCATACGAAATGACAAAGAAAATAAACCTTTCTCTACCAGGAAGGCTAGTCTGTCACACAGCTAACCTCCCTTTGGTCCTCTTCTTTACTTCAAGTTCTCTTGATCTTGATCTTGTCCTTTTTATGCCTCAGCTGCCAATTCCCAACCTCTCTTTCAAGTTCGACATCTGGCTGTTGCTTACTGGGTATTTTAACTTTGATATCCCAAAGGCAGCTCAGATTCAATGAGTCTAAACCCTCATCATCCTCACATTCCCTCCTTTGGTGAACAGCACCACCATTCTTCCAGCCACCTGGGAGTCACCCTAGATTTCTGCCTAAATTTATTATATCCCATTACCAGATTCCATCGATTTCAATACTAAACAGGTCCTTTCTTATCTCTGTTGCTTTGATTCAAACTCTCACCATCTCTGATCCAGACTAATAAAATAATGAATTAATTTCCTTTCTTCTAGGTTTTCTCTAATCAAAGCATCATCCAGATTGCTATGTGATCTTCTGCAAACTTCCAATCATGCAACTACTTCCCTACAAGAGCTGTTTAATGGCTCTCTGATGCCCTTACAATAGTCTAAACTCTATTAATGACACACACAGTCCTCTGTACTCTAGTTCCCCTTTGACTACTTTTCTCTGTGCTTTTGCTTTCACTTACACTCTGGGAATTCTGCTACCTATGTGGTTCTCCCAAAGCAGTGTGCTTTCTTATACCACATTTGCTTCTGCACTTCCCAGTTCTGTCTACCTGGGGGGACTTGCTCCTTCTAATAGGCTCAGTTCAAGTTATGAACACTTTCCTTTACATCACTGTACTAAAATTACTGCTGTTGATGTTATCTCACTTTAAAAAGTCTTCCCCCAAACAGATTTATAGCCAGGGACAAAAGAAGTATTACCAATAAATGTTCTCAGACAACGCCGGTCACCGTAAACCTCCCAGAGCTGGAGAAAAAAATAAAATACACAGACATATTAGTTTTTTTTTTTTTTTGGTGCTGGGGACTGGACTCAGGGCCCCATATATGCTAAACATGTGCTTTGCCACTGTGCTCCGCCCCAGCCCTGGAGATATTAAATTTAATAAAAATTTTTAATCAATAATAATGTCATATTCCAGCTATGTATGTGCATATCTGTGTGTGTATAGGGGATTTAATTATTATATTTTACTTAGCACCACCAGTTTGTGTTGTATTACTTGGAGTACACACACATATATACATATACACGTTCTTTTATAACTAGAATTTTTTTTAAGGTCTTTTCATCCAAAGTGATATAAAACACCTGCATCAAAATACCAAGAGACCTTGACTACAGAAGGAGTTAATCCAGGTGGTTTCATTTATCATTGCTCTTTTTTTTAATACTGTAGTTATTTTCTATGATAAAAAGTTTCTACTTTTGTAATACTACAAACTTTATTACAACTGCCATGTATATAACATTTTGATACTAAAAAGCTTTTAAATACTTCTCTAAAGTAACAAGTATAATAGAAGCAGTGGGAAAATAATGATCTAGACTAAAATAACAGTCTCATAATTCTCATCATATCCAAAGTGCATGAATACAAAAGCTTCAAAACTAGCTTTAATCTTGCCTGCCTCAAACCCAATCCTTGACAATACTGCTAGTGCTCTAAAATAGAAAGCATTTCCTGGCCACCCAGTGCCAGGAGGATAAAGTCTCAGTTCCCGCAGCATGCCACAAGAGGATTTCTGGGACCTGGTCCCTTTTCTATGACTATTATCATTCTTTGTCTCTTAGATTTTATGCTTGGCCAACCACAAAACTTGTAGTTTTCGGCACACACCATGCTGTTTCATTCTATTTGCTCTTCTCAAACGTACTCTATTCCTTCCCTGTAACTTAACCTTCCTATTGAGATACGCTTCCTTTTTGAAGCCAGAATACATGCACCTTGTGCCTGCCTCTATAACGATCATTTACCTCATCATACAACGATCACCCTATGGGCAGAGATAGTGCCTTAACATTTTTTTATCCTCACCCTCTTCACATAATGGCTACCTAATGAGTGTTTACATACGTGAACCTAATTGAATTCTGTAATTTTTTTTAGTTGGTCAAAGAGAAGATCATAACCTCAATTTACATAGTTTGTATAAAGTAAAGGTTAAAGAAGTAAGGGTTTTTACTACAACTGACTCAATTAGTGACAAATTGAGACAAATTATCTCTATTAGAGACAAATGCCTAAATGGTTGCTCTCATCCAAAGAAGCTATCTTTATATATTCTTAATATTCATGCATTATTAAGAAGGAAAAAGCTTTAATGATTCAACTTTCCAAGCCACAAGACCATTATAGGGTTAGTATTTATCGAACCATTGTAAAGATAATAGACACAGTGAAGACCAAAAAACACAAAAACTATCCTTTTAGATTTAAGATTTATTTCAAGGCTTTCCCCATATCTAAGTTGACATGAAACTTTAGATATGAGAACTGTGGGCCTATTGTTTTAGTCTAGATCATTATTTTTGTACAGCTTCTATAATATCTTTTGCTTCAGGAAAGTTCAAAACTAAAGTCTTTCAGTATCAAAATGCTATACTTGTGACAATCAAGTCTTCTGTACCACATACTATAGAGTTGAGCAGAAGGTAAAGGTGGAACTTCCTAAGACTACAGTGGGAGAAGAGACTGGGAGCACTTCTGCTACTTGTTATCTAAAAGTATTCAAAGAAAAAGGATAAAATACATTGTTTATTCTGAAAATGGGATTTCTATAATGTGTCCTCTCTACCTTATTTGGTTTTGAGGAAAAATGAACACTATTACATATCTAAAACTTCTATAAAAATGCATAACTAGTGATTAAATATTTCTGTGTCTAATGCCAAACTGATTGGATTACATTCTAATCAGTGTTCTAAGCTTTAAAAAGAACCTAGACAACTGGACCACATGGCTATATTTGAACCTACAAGTTTAGAAGCAGTTCATAAATAGCTGAATTTACAGGACCTAAGAGAAAATTATTAACCTCTAATTGCCTAGCACCCAAATTTATTTACAATTAACCAGATTTAACAGTGACAAAGCTGCCAGTGTTATCAAAAACTCACCTTAATTTTACAATCCATGGAACAAGACAGCAATAAATGACCAGAGAGGGGAAACAATCTGACTGCACTGACACCCTGTAAAAAGGTATCAGAGTTATAAACCAGAAGCATTTTGAATATTGGCTAGAACACAAGGCAAAGACGGTAAACTTTAAGCAACCTAAAAGCAACCTTTTCTATTTTTCTTTATTCCAATCATCATGACCCAGAATAATCATCATTAGTATTCCAAGAGCAGGCCTTACTGACACTAAGCTTTTGAAGGTTTTTTTTTTTTTTCTTTTTTAACCTCTAATATTGACTTTCTCACTCAAGGGAATCCTGAGTCAATCAAATTGCTAATGCCCCCACTACGTTTCCTTCTTTTATGTAGTTCCTTTGCTTTTTGCAAAGAGCTGGAAATTAACAGCCGGAATTGTGCAGATGACAAAGAATATCAACATGGAAAATTCTCATGTATCTTGTCTTTGTGTTATTACCTTGACTTATAAACCACAGAGCATCTCATTTCTGCAATGGGATAACCCCCAAAACCAAGGCAACATTACAGGCTAAGCAAGAGACTTGATGCTAGGACAAGGTTGTTACTCAACTGAATTTGTGTCCAAGAGGAAGCAGACTGTGACTGGAACTTGCAGAGAAATGGCTGTGCTGGGGGTCAGAATATCCAACCACAAACACGTGTCATGGCCACGTCAGAAGGTTTTCATGACTGATACATGTGAGCGTCTCCAAAGTCTAATCCAACTTGATCTTCAATATGACTCCCCTGTCCTATCTTTACTTCCCTATATGCTCACCAGAAATACTGAATGATCCACATCCATGACTGAAACTTTACACTGGCTTCACTATTATAACACTACAGCAAATAGAAACAGCCAACTTGCTTACCTTTGTATGTCCAGACCACACATGAATTTGTTTTTTGGGAAGATAACACTTTTCAGGTGGCACAGTTGACCGTAGATTGACACCAACATCCTGAGGTATGTGAAGATAGGATCTGCCTTGATAGTCATACATTTCTTTAACTGAAACAAGAAGGCAATAACCAAATAGTTCATAGTCAAAACAATCACAAAATCTATATTCTTAAAATGATAAACATTTCATTCTTAGGACTATTGCCTTTATCAAAACTTGGGTAATAACACTCTGGTGATGTTAAGATTGTAGGTTAGTTAAAATTAGCTGCTTGAAATCCTTGCTATCATTTCCAATTTGAAGCAGTATTTTGGAATTCCTAAATTCCTAGAGCGTATTACACCTTTAAGATCTATACTTCTTTCACTCAGTCATATACTTTAGTGATATATAATAAAGACTTCACTGCAGTATAATAAGAGTGAGTAAAAAAAAAATAATACTTGGGCCTCATGAGCACTGGTAAAGAATCAGAAGCAAAACAGGCTAAGAAAGAAATTAAAACAAAAAAATATCAACTATCCTTTCCTCTCACTTTCTGCTTTTATGCCTTTCTGGTTCCTTTCCATTCCTCTTTTCCTGATTTTCACCTCAAAGTTTTATAATAGTCATGTGGGTGACTTAGATGGCATAGTGTAGAGAAAGCAGTTAGTAGTATGCCTGGCACAGAGTGGGTATTCAATAAATGTTGAATGGTATTGCTGTTACAATTGTACACGCCACAGTACTAAACAGATTCCTTAAATACAAAACTGGAGCCTGATAAACCAAATATTGCCTCATTATACCTAAAAAGCTGATGTGATAAAACATCAGAAAAAGCAACACTATTTGTGCAAAAAAAATCAGTAATCACTATGTAATTTCCTAAATGTAACTAATCATTAATGAATAGGTACATTCTAGAATATTTGTAATTTATTTTGGTGAGTATGCATTTTCTTCCACAAGTCAAGGTAAGTATGAGTCTTAATCTCCAGTTTACTTACATTTAATGACATTCATAAACTGTGAAGATACCTGACTATTTGGATTGAGTTAAAAAAAACAGTTTAATGATTTAGGCATCATTAATATACGAAAAGAGTCAACTTTATCTCAAGAAAGGGCATGAACCATACGAGTTTCTTCTTTAAAATTTTTTTTTAAATTCACTAACATTTCAACAAACATTGTATGTGGCTATTATTAGTCATGCTACTACTTCTTTTCCCCTTTATTAGCACAAGGAAAAGTCTGCTGTGATTTTTTGGGGATACAAACTATAAAATTATAATTATTCTTAATATTATGATTGTATGGCAGCTGACGGTAAGGGCAATTGGTATTACATGAACAGAGAACAGACATGAGCTTTTTCATGAAATGAAGAAATATGAAAATACATTACCATGTAAGATTGTCTTCTCCTCCCCAGGTTTCTCTTCTTCCTGTTTGCCTTTCTTCTGCCTTTTTGCTGTGATTTCATCCAATTCTTTTTGTTCTTCCTAAGAAAATGAAGGAGTGAACTTTAAAACAAATGTTTGAGAATCTCACTATGTCCAAAGTTGGTTATAAATTCTTTATAATGAAGTCTTCATTTTTGTGAAGCAATTGCTGTAAATATACTTCCCCATAGAATAATTTCAACTCTTCCATAAGCAGAGATTGATTATCTCTTCCACAGATTACAAAATGGCAATAAACCTATAATGGATACTAGATAATATTTTTAAACCAATTTTATACAAGCTCATCCTTCTGGAACATCTAGAAATAAATTGAACATATTATGCTAATTGTTCAAGTAAAAAGACAAGGCAATTAGAAAATCTGGTACCAGAAAGGAAAGGAAACTGAATTTTAGTACATAATGTTGTTCTTCAATAAATAGCTTTTACATAGTCATGAGGGTATAAGCAATTACTATAGATTTATGACCATTTTGGCATGAGCTGGGGAGGGAAGTGGGAGAGCAGTAAATCTGTATCTATAATAACAATCTAAAATAAATAAAGAAATAGCAGAACATGTACATTATTAAGCTAATGCAGATGTAAAAAACATCTAGAATATAAGTTTCACGAGGCCAGAATTTTCCTGATCTTGCCCACAACTGTATCTCAGGACCTAGACTGGTGCCTGGCTCATAGAGACAAATGGGATTATGCAGGTGGGGAAAGGAAGGGTGGAGTTCTGTATTTTCACTTTACTAACTTCATAGTAAAAATTTAAAAAAATAATACAGATAAAATTTAAGATTTTTGAATAAATGAATAAGTAAAACCCACTATCAATTCCAATATGAAAAAAAAACCCTGATTTTGTAGTTACTATCTGAATGTCTGGTACCAGAAAAACAGCTATCATGGCAGTTTAAAAGCTTTATTAAGGCAATTTTTTTTAAAAAAATTGTTCAATATTCTATTTTTATAAGAAAGTACCAAAGAAAGTAAAGCAGAAAAAAAAGTAAACAAAAATAGTACAAAAAAAATTATTGTATTTTCTTAACAAAGGCAGAGAAATTCTGAGGAGTCACTTGGTTCTCTAAGAGAATCTCAAGTTTATTAATAGAGATATGATTTGTAAAGACATAGCATACACTTGAACTGGAAATGAAAAACATCAAAGCTTACTTCTGAAGGTTTGGCTACATCTTTTTCGTCCACATATTTTGCCCACGGTCCCAAGAAACCATCAATATTAGATGCATCGTTTTCTTTGAACTTTTTCCTCTTTTCTGTTTTCTTTTGACCAGTTTCAAATACAGTTAAACCTATGTTAACAACAACAAAAAGAAATTATAAATATATACATTTTCTTCAAAAACATCATCATACATATGATTTTATATAGTTAAAGAAAGGTGATTGTTCAAGAGACCAAAAACAAAATTAAAAGGTAAATGAATCTGCAACATATATTAACTAGCTCAAGTTACATGAAACCTTCTGAGGAGAGAATCTTCTAACCCTGTAGTGTTTTACAAACTTTGCTATATTAAAAGAAAAAAAAAGATATCCAATCCTACAATGGTACACAGCCTTTTTAATGAATGAAAAACCTGTATCTATAGACTTTTACTAATTCTGAAAGAAACTCAACAACTTGATGTTGCTAAATAATAATAAAGCTACTTTTGAAAGCAAGAATTGTAATTTATTGCTTAAAAACAGGGCTGAGGGTTGGGATCAGAGGGACATTAAGGCTGCTGCCTAGACATTGCTGACCACACTCTGTCAGGTGATACTTTCTGCCGTCGCAACAATGACCTCTGTCTCAGAATGCAGCCTTCCTAGGACCAGGAAAAAAGTACCTTTCACACAGGGCAGCCACATCTTGCCCCTCTACCACCTATTTCTGAATATGGAGGAAAAGTTCTTCTTGGGGCTGATCCCTGAGGAATTCTTCCAGTTTCTTTATCCTAAAACTTGTGTAACAGGACCCTACATGCATGAAACTGTATTTTCTATCCAAAGAAATTTATGTGATTACTCCAGAGACCTTTTCTACCATATCAATAGTAGCATTATTGTCCATGTGATTAAAAAATATGGTGCCTCTATGGAGAATTTACTGAAAATCTAAATGAGCATAAAATTGCCCAACTAGAAGAGGTGAAACAGGCTTCCATCCAACAAATCCAACATGCAACTGAGTTATAGAAGTCACAGCAGGTGCTGGTTCAGAAGTGCCATTATCTTTTTGATGTCCAAAGGAATAACATTGCTATGGCCTTGAGGTTTCTTACCAGGAAGGGCGACATAAAGTATACAAGGAGGTAAAGAACTGCCTGGATTATCATATCTCTGCAGAATATTATGCATTGAAAGGAACAGGAGTACAAGATAAACTGGGTGGAGAAACACGTGGTACAGAGTATTTCTGCACAGCAGGAAAATGAGACGATTGCCAAGTGCATTGCAGATTTCAAGCTGCTCCCAAAGAAGCCTCAAGCACAGCCAGTTATGTAAATGTATCTGTCCCAGTTGAGACAGCTATACAGTTGACTGAGTAAATGAAAACTAGTCTACGTGACAAAATCTTCCTCTATTGCTATCTACTGAAATTACAGTTTATCTTTCCTAAAAAAGAAAAGTTCAAGTTTCTTTGGGAGATTACCAACTTACAATTTAAATTTATAATTAATTCCATCATCTTGCAATTAAGTAATGATTAAAACAAAACAAAAAACCCAAAACAAAAACAAAACAGGGCTGAATTAAAACCACATTAAGTACTTAGTAACGTATTTTTACTATGCTTGTAATAGAACAATATAAATTAAACAAGTTTTCTCAAAATTTTGGTATTTCTTTCATATGATCTCCTTCTAAAACTGATCTCTAATATCAACTTTAGTAAAAAGAAATGGAGGAAGAAAGATGTTTCTGAGATTTTTTAATTGATCAGTAGGAGATGGCATACTATTAGATTGCAAAAAGAAAGTTTTACAGGAGTCATAGTGACAGGTTAACTAAGAATCTAGCTCCATATATATAAGAACAGGGAAAAATAGTTCATATTAATTCAAATTAATTTCCTTTAGGCTGTGTTACAACAAAAGCATGGGAAAGTCTATTTTAACAATCATCAAGCACAGAAGGCAGTTTGATCATACAGGGTCTAGTTTTATTTAAGTAGAAGTGTCCCTGTGTAACTTGAACTTTTTTTTTTTAAATGGCATTTTATAGATGAGATTCAGTGGTCTGATGAGCTTTGTGACAAGTTAGCATTTAGCAAGCATGATGCCTGGCCTTGTTATAAAAGATGAATATGAACACAAGCATATTTAAAACATATATTCAGACTCAAGCCATTAAAAAAATCCTTCAAAGACAATCCTCACAGACTCACAAAATGAAACTTTACTTCTTTTAAAATTTAGCTTGACTTACTGTGGAAATGCCAACAGCCAAAATTATCTATACATTAATTATAATTTATTGAATGATATCTATAGGGTTGGCATGTACCAAGTACTCAAAATAACCCCAAATGATACATAACCACCATCTTCCTTACAAGGTTACACAGCTAGTAAGTAGTAAAAGCAAGCTCTAAACCATAATAGTTCTAAACTGTATTGCTCTAAACCCTATCACTCTATTATTTCAACTTAAAAAAATCAAGAGCTAAATATGGGTTCTTTCCTACTATCTAATTACTGTAAGGCACTAATTATAAATGTGTATATGCACATACACACACACACATGATACTAACTATTTTAAATAAATTACCTTGATTTTTTTCAGCTTCTTCTACAGAACCAATGTATTTAGTAGACACTTGATGATTATCCAATGAAGGGTCCAATGCATAACCTGAAAGGAAAAAAGTGCAAACTACTGACTCCATTTTGCCACTTATAATTCATTTTATTACAACTATTCAAATATACGCATTTCACATTTTCTTTCCCAGATATTAAAAATGGTCTCTTTAACTATGGACCAAGTCTTCTTTTCTGAGCTCCATTTCTCTTTACCACAATTAATCCATATTCTAGGCTGGACCCTGAATGACTTCAGAATAAAATGTATCTTAGAGGATGAATTTAACATATAGCTATTATATACTAAAAGCCTTTCTGGCTATGAAATCAACTTTAGTTTCAAACATTTGAAAAGCTTAAAAATACATGTGCATTATATGTTTGGAAGTTTAGAAACTATTTCCTTTTTTTTTTTTTGGTAATGGATATTATAGCTTATAATATATAAACTATTAAATTAAAAAAGAAATAGGGTAGAAGTTAATCACATAATGTCTAGCTATTATTTTGAAAATGCTATTCTCAGTAAAGACTGTCTTTCCTCTAATCTTAATCTATTTCTCCTTCAAAAATCATTATTCATATTTCTTTGGTAAGAGAAGATAATAAGGATAGCTGGTGTATAGATATATTCCTTCAACTAGTTCGAGTGTGTACCTACATTTGAAAGTGGTCTCCCGTGGTCTAGGAGAATGAAGGGAAACAAAGCCTTCCTAAATTAACTCAAATCATTTTTTTTTCTTTCCTCCAGTGGGTGTGCTAGGATAATAAACATTTAGTTTAATCTGTTTCACAAAAATCTGGTATATTCACAAAAGAGAGCTGATCATTCATTAGTCTATGGCCTACAACCCATGCGAACAATCACAAAGTGCATAAAAAGTACTAACTCATTTTTTTAAAGGGCCATACCCTAATGGACATATCTAACATTTTTATTTTGCAGCTAAAGATTAAAGGGAACTAATTTGGAGAATGGAAAAAGATTTGTCATGAAACATACTTTTAAAACAAGCTAAGGATGTAGGTGCTTAACTCACCCTCGTGATATGCTAAAATAGAACCAACCACCTGGCTATTAGTTCATTTGGATATAGTTTTTTTCAGCATTAAAATATGTTCTTAGCCAGAGAAGAGAGCTTGATGGCAGAAAAGCAGCTTTGGAGTTGAATCTCTGAAATCACAGGTTCAAATCCCATGAGTTATTTTAGCTTTTACCTTTTTGTACCAAACAGTGTTCTATGTGTGATTTTTTAGAAAATGAGACTTTTTAAGGCTCATATAAAATTCAGACCAACATACCCTGAATTAAAAATTCCCATCTCAGCCATAAAACCTTATTTAGAATGTAAATTCTACCATGGAAGGAGATTTATGTCTATATAAATGGCATTGTGTGATGTGTTTGGAGAGGTGGAGGTTGAGAGAGAAGGGTGTCCCTGGTCCTCATTATCTCTATGTAAGCACCAATCCCCAACTCTTCTGGCCATACACAGTCTTGTTTCAATTAAAGGAACTTATGCTTTCCTCCCGTTTTTCTCTGTGGTAAAGATCTTTTATTGCCACTTGTATCCCCTGCCCCATTCCCTCCTACTCCAGGTGATTAGTGAATAAAATTAGTCTCAGGTTACAAGTAAGAGACATTAAATATTTATCCATATACACTACTACAAATCAGCCAGTGATAGAACAAGCTCTAACTAATACTATGGAATTTCAGTCCAAATGGTTTTCTATTACTCTACGTCTCAAATAAATGAATGTATCTGCACTATAATTCTTAAAGATTCTTGTCTATCTTTTGGAAGCCTATTTTCTATTTTACTTTTTTAATGGAGTTCATGTCTACTTTCTTTAGGAAGTAGCATCTGAAATGGCTATAATAATACTAATTTTATTACTATATCCTTAAAACTATCAATACTAATATTCTGACAGATATTTACACTATAAACAGTATAGACACTATAAACAATTTGCAAAGAAATGGTTGTGAATAAACAAAAAATCCTTTAAAATCAATTGTCCAGAAAAATCAAGTCAAAATAAAGAAACAGTATTTTGATTATCAAACACAGGAAAAACAATCACATATATGGATCTTAGATAAGGAGAAACAGAACTTTCATTCTTGGTGGTGGTAGAATTGAGAGAACTATTTGCCCTACTTTTAGGAATTTATTTTAAAAAAACAGTGAAAAAAGCCTGCAAAGTTTTATGCTCAATAATATACACTGTCACATAAAAAGGCATTTTACTAGTCGGGTGTGGTGGCACATGCCTGTAATCCTAGTGGCTTGGGAGGCTGAGGCAAGAGGATCTCATCAAAGCCAGCCTTAGCAACAGTAAGGCACTAAAGCAACTCAGTGAGACCCTGTCTCTAAATAAAATACAAAATAGTACTGGGGATGTGGCTGAGTGGTCAAGAGGCCCTGAGTTCAATCCCCTGTAACCACTCCCATCACAAAAAAAGGGCATTTTACTGCAATATAATATATACAGTACCTTTTTAATAATGAAAACTGGGACCAACTTGAAATCTAATGATACCAGAGATTCTTAAACTACAGTAGTGGACAATTTAAAAAAATTATTTTGAAGTATTAAAAAAGAGTTTATAATGTTGAAGATAAAACTGAATGTTAAAAACGACTATGGTGAGACTACACTATTTATTTAAAATTCTATTTTCCACTTCCATAGACTAATGTAGTGAACATTTTGAGTGAACTCTGAACAACAGGAAAAAAAAAAAACTTCACTGAGAAGCCCCAAACAAGACCAACAAAGGAACAGTCCAGAACTCAGGAGAAAAGGGAAGAAAATAGGACACACACACACACAAGAAAATTCACATATCCACTGAAGGATTGAGGTGGCAGGAGAAACACAATAAATAGGAGCTAAAAACCAACTACACTGCAAATAAATGAGGTGATAACAGGAAATGAGACTATCTTCAATGATAAGGACTCTACAGGCTGGTTCTATGATAAACTAAATGTATTGTAGAATATACATCTTCCAGAAGTTATTTACTGATATTATAACAATGTTACATCATTTAAAATAGGAAGAAAAATAAGATCAATTTTTATTCTGCATCCAAGCAGTGATATCCCAGAGTTACAAATATGAGACTTAGGTAAAACTGAATTTATGTGCCATCTCCTTAATATGTCTTATAGATAACAGTAGTACAAGATATAAGGAAGGTGTGCTCCATTGTATTTTGTAAATGAGGGACTGTATCAGAAACCCCAAGGTGTAAGAGTGATAAAACAAACAAGTACATAGGAAGCTGGCCTAGAAATCACTATCTTGTCAGGTAAGAACTTTCTATGGGAAAACTGTAAGACTTACACTAACAGAAGCTATACTTGATCAGTGCTTGAGTGTAAGGAAAAAAAGAGACCGTGCTAAACCTGAGGTTGGTTAACTTATTAAGTTCAAACAAATTGCTCTCAGTTCTAAGATCTATCATAAGAGAGACAGACCATGATATTCTTAGTTTTGCCACTGGCCATTCCCTCTGACTAATATACTATAGTCTCACATTTATTTTTTACATCGAACTCACTAGTTCAACCTCTGTCCCAGCCGACTACCTTCTAGCAGGAGAGGGGAAAAAAAAAAAAAAAAATCACTGGGCTTTTTTTTTTTTTTTTTAAATAAGCCCATTTCTAACCCAAGTCTAAAGCCAATTGAGTAGTTTTAAATGCTTATTCTTGCTATAAGGTAACTTAAAAAGAAAAGTAGGTATCGGTATAAATTGAGGTAAGATCCCACCCCTTGTTTTGTTCTGAAGACACTTAAGCTATCTAAATTATTACTTAAGCTATTCTTTAAAACTCTGTTTTAGTATTAAAATACAATAAATCGTGATTCAACAGAGTTGATTTTTATGTGTGGCACGTTACTTTAGATTTACCCTTACATAAGTAATGGGTATAATGCAATGATGTTCCAGCAATTGGGAGTGTCACTGAAATCTTTTGTTGATTTAGTGGTATTCAATCTTAAGGACGACTTTTGGCCACTGTAAGTCAATTAAAACCTTGCCATGATGAAACATGATCTAATATATAATAATCCCTTTCATAATGTTTCCATGCATGTTATCTTACACAATTAATTTATGACTATCCTATTTTCTGACATCCCTTAGTGATCAAGAGAAAACATTTCAGAGATAAGATTTGAGAAGAGAGTAAAGTTAACTAGGGTATATGATTAAAAAAAAAAAAGTAACCTCTTAACACTATCTCTTCATTTATCAACTTTAACTGCAATCTGCATATAGTGGACATTCAATAGCAAGGGTTCATTACCAAGAACAACAACAAAAAGCATTCTGTTTTTAAGATCCCAGAATATATCCAGTATACAGAAATCATACTGGATTTAAAAATGACAGCTAAAAATATTAGCTCACCTTTTAATTTATGTAAAATATTTATAGATACAGATCAGAAGTCCATCTGAAAGACTCTAGATTAATACACTTTAAAAGCCAGAAGCTATAATAGATTACTGGACACACAACTCATACTTCCAATAAGGCCAAATTTAAAACTGTTTAAGTCGTATAACCTTACCATACGTGGCAAAAGTTCTTCTTTGCTGTTCAAACATGAAATCATTGATATGAGCTGGTTCAGCATAGCCAGAAAGCATATTTCTAGGAGCAGCCATTTGCTGTGTTCTAAAGGGATTTTCTGGTCCAAACTGCAATGTTATCAGAAAGAAAAAAAAAAGGGGGGGGGGTAGGGAAGAAAAACATAAGTTCTGACTATATGAAAGCTAGAATTACTAAAAAGCTTATACATTTTCAATTTTAAATCAGGGGCTGATTAACCTGTTTGGGAAAATGGTAGCTTCACATGGTTTAGTGCAAGTGGGCAATGGTTGGTTAGCAGTTTGTCAGTTCCTGGGACTGAAATAGAAGAGCCCAGCTATTTATTTCAAGAGTTCAATAGTCACATGTGGTTACTAGCTACTGCATTCCCATACTGCACAAAGTCCTATTTGGTCATATTGCTGTGGATAATTGAGAATGACTACAGTTTTTTCTAAACCATGATTTGAGGAATTTTGGATGACATTGTGCCAATAATGGAACTATGATATAATTTTTTGAAAGCCGTATTGCTTTTCTATTAGATTTTGAGTTCCTCAAAAGTAGATATTCAGAATCTTCTATACTTACCACAGTGCCTGATATATAGAAAGTATTTATGAAGGAAAGATAATCAGAATCCCAGTGGGGGTAAAGGATAGGAAAACAGACAATAAAAATTAAGTGCCTGAAAAAGTTCCTAGGAAAAGATACCACAAATATAAATAAAAATTCTCCACTTTGAAAAGTTACCTTATTCCTACACAAACTAGTATTCTTATTATCTTAATGCTTTGAATTTCAAGAATAATTTTCCAAGTTATTTAATCTGATTTATATAAAAACCCTGAAAACTTAGAGAGGTAGTTTCCTTCTCATCTCACAAAAGAAGAAAAAAGCTGAAGACGATATATTTTACTTGCCCCAGGGTCAAAAGTTTATTAACTGGTAGAACCAAGGCTAGAACAAACCCTAGTTAAGCATTTTATTGCATCACAACATTACTTAAAAGTACAAACATAGGGTCTAACTTGTTAAAAAGTACCAGAATATATTAAGTCCTATTAATTTAATGCTATTATAAAAAGTATTGGGGAAAATCCAACTCTTTTTGTTTTGTTTTTAAATGAAGAAACAAATGAGCTTTCCACTCTGGAAAGAGTGTAACAGAATATTTATTTGAACTCTGAAAGATCCACTGTCCTGATGAAGTATTTTGACATTAGAATATTTTAGGTCACTATCATTAGAAACTATCTTTTTAATGATGTGTTTACAGAGCCACAAATACAAATTACTGATCTTCCCTTAATCAGTATGCTGTTTTCTCCAGACATCAATATTATACTATATAAAAAATGAATTTAAATGATATTAGATTATTTGCCTTACATTTTTTGCTTTAGAAGAAAATAAATTACTATAAGATTGCTATATATTGAGCTCCCATTTCTGTTTTAAATAACTCAATTTTAAAATAACTGATTTACATACAAAGCTTTTATTACTATCTAAATACCTGATTTACATACAAAGCTTTTATTACCATTCTAAGTATAAAGGATAGTGCAAGACTTTGCAGCCCATATTAGTTCTTCCTGCATCTGCCAATAGATGGAAACACAAGGGGGGGAAATCTATATTGATGAATGCTGGAAGTTGTTTTCAGTGTCATTCCATCATGAAATTTATTAAGAAACAGAAGAAGTCAAGAAAATAAAGCTAATAAAATGATTTAAAAGTTTCCAAAGATGCACTACCTGCCATAGTCATTATCCACAAAGCAGTATCTGATATTTCTGGGGTGGGGAGATCTAAAATGACAAAAATCCCCAGTGTCCTTATTGTTACTCATATAACATAGTAAATTATCAATCGCTGTGCTTATGTATAATCTGCCATTTAAAAAAGGAGATTATAATTTCCAGTCTTATTTTATTAAGATTTTACAAAAAAAAAATAATTCTTCTATAGGCCATACATATCAAACTCGTTCTACTTTTTAAAGAAAAATGCTTAAATTACTATGATTTCTAAACAAATACAGATCCGTATATTAAAGCTAAGTGTATTTTACATATGGTGCTATACTAAAAGCAATCTTAAAATGTGCTTACGTCTTGTAGATGCTTTAGCTGAGACAATAACAACAAGAATCTAGTGATGGGGGAAGCTGGGTGGGAAAGCTGGGTGGGAGGATTTTCCATCTATTTGAGGCTCACCTTAATTGCCTGATTCCTGGCAGTTATTGGAGCTGACCTCAAAGATATTAAATGACAACAGAGGGAAGCTGAGAACACTATTCAGCAGGACTCAGCTCTTCCCAATTACTCAAAAATATGTCTCTCAGATGTTCATGGTCTCTGTGAACATGCAACTCTCTTAATTCTGGGGTAGACATTAAAAAACAAAACAAAGTACATAAAAAGTATACAAAATTGATTTCCAAGTATTTTTTTTTTTATGTTTTGGTAGCTAACTAAGTTTGAGTTAATTTGTGCAAGTGATTTATAATAATTTTTAACAATATATAAATGAATATATAAGATCTGTATGTAAATTTATAACATTCGCATAAATTTGGGTTTACAGTAGATTTAAGTTAGTAAGGTATGGGTATTTAACATATTTTAACTAAAATGATATCCAAGTACACTAGTGTCAATTACAATATATACATGTAGGGGAGGAAAAAAAATATATATATATATATATATTTTTTTTTTAAAGAGAGAGAGAGAGAGAGAGAAAATTTTTTAATATTTAGTTTTTAGATTTTTGGCAGATACAACATCTTTGTATGTGGTGCTGAGGATCGAACCCGGGCCGCACGCATGCCAGGCGAGCGCACTACCACTTGAGCCACATCCCCAGCCCCGGAGAAAATATTTTTAAGCCATATGTCTAATAAGGAGTTAATATTCAAAATATATAAGGAACTCAAGCAATTCAGTAGCAAGAAAACAAACAACTGATTAAAAATAGGCAAAGTACCAGAATAGACATTTCTCAAAAGAAGTCATGGCAATAGGTATATAAAAAAGTGTTGACATCACTAATCAGAGAAATGCAAGTTAAATATCACAATATTGCCTTATACCTGTTAGAGCAGTTATTATCAAAAAGATAAATGTTGAGGGATAGAGATGTGATTCAGCGGTAGAGTGCTTGCCTAGTGTGGATGAGGCCCTAGGTTTGATCCCCAGCACTGACAGGGTATAACAAAACAAAACAGAAAAAGACATATGTTAACAAGTGTTGGAGAAAAGGAACCCTGGCTTATTGTTGATGAGAATGTAAATTAGTACAGACACTAGGCAACACAGTATGGAGGGTGCTCAAAAAATTAAAAATGGAAACTGATCTAGCAATCTTATTACTGGATGTATATTTAAGAAGGAAATGAAATCAGTATGTCAAAGAAACTTTTACTCCCATATTCACTGCAGCATTATTTACAATAGACAACATAAGGCATCAAACTAAGTGTCCTCCAAATGATGAGTGGGTAAAGAAAATGTGGTATGTGTGTATACATATATATAGATATTTATATATGTACATGCACACACATACATAATGGACTGCTTGCTATTCAGTTTTTTAAAAAGAAGGAAATCCTGTCATTTGTGGCAACACAGATGAACCTGGAAGACATTATGCTAAATGAACTAAGCCAAGTACAGAAAGACAAATACTCTGTGACCTCACTTACAGGTGGAACTGAAAACAAGTTGGATATACAGGCAGAAAGCAGAATGGTTACTAGGAGTGAGGAGGTGTTGGGTAGTGTTGTCAAAGGACATAAATTTCAGTTAGAAGTAATAAATTCAAGAAATCTTATTTTGTACAACATGGTGATTTAGTTAATAGCAATGTATTGCATTCTTTTTTTTTTTTTTTTGGTATCCAGGATTGAATTTAACTACTGAACCACATCTCCAGCCCTATTTATTTTTTATTTTGAGCTTAGTTACCTAGGGCCTTGCTAAGTTGCTGAGGCTGGCCTTGGCCTTGAACTTGCCATCCTTCTGCCTTAGCCTCCTGGGTTACTGGGATTACAGGCATGTACCACCATGCGTGGCCAATGTATTGTATTCTTAAAAATCTTGAAGAGAGTAGATTTGAAGTGTTCTCACCACAAAAAAAGCTAAGTATGTGATGTTTGCTTATGTCAAGTAGCTTGACTTAACCATTTTATAGTGTGTGGGTGTGTGTATGTGTGTGTGTATATATATATATATGTTTTATATATATATATGTTTTTCAAAACTTCATGTTTTTGCAGTAAATATACAATTGTCAATTTCAGAAATAAATTAATTTTAAAAATACACATTTAAACCTGGTGCAGTGGTGCATGCCTGTAATCCTAGTGGCTTAGGAGGCTGAGGTAGGAGGATCGAAAGTTCAAAGCCAGCCTTAGCTATGGCAAGTTGCTAATCTACTTAGTGAGACCCTGTCTCTAAATAAAAATACAAAACAGAGCTGGGGATGTGGCTCAGTGGTTAAGTGCCACTGAGTTTAATCCCGGATAACCCCTCTCCACCACCACCAAAAAACAAACAAACAAACACACACACACACACACACACCATTTTTAAGTACTAATTTAGATCACTATATCCAAAGAATGTATGATGTTCCCAAAAGAGGTAAGCATTCTTACATCTTTCAACTGTGTAATGATTTATTTATATAATTGGGTGAAAAACATTTTTAATTTGTGAAGATGCTGGTAGATAACTCCCAGAGATTTAGTATAAAGAAATGGTTCTCATAAGTCTTCAGTAGGCAGAGTACTTGACAGTCAATATCTTAGTGGTATATCATTATATCATAGGAATTCAGAAAATTTATACTAGTGAAAATGGACAACATGAAATCATAATACTAAGTTCACATATAAGAAAAAAATTATTAAACTAAGATTATAAATTATTGTTAAATTTTTCATTAATATTTATAGCAATCATCAAAATTTATAAATAAATTTTGAGAAAGGGCCATTAACTGAACTGTTTTCTACAAATTAGGAAAAGACCACAATTCAATTTGCTGACAGAATAATTTTGTAAGATGTATGCAAAGTTTATTACTTGAATAAGAAAATTTCATTAGTGCTGGTTCCATGACCTTGAGCCTCAATTTCCTTATAAAATAAGAGATAAGATATATGATTTCTAAAAAGTTTATTCTAGCTTTAATATTTATAGCAGCCCTTACAGCCATATTTTTAACAAAATTGGCTTTTTTCCCCCCTCTTAACTTTTATATTTTTTTCTTAAAAATAGCATTATTTTAATGAGTCTGGAATTCTTCCTGAGACCTATGGGTTTTATGAGTTAGAGAAGCTAATAAATACAGCTTTTTTTCTAAGCAGATTCAAAAAGAATTGAGTGAAATGAAGAAAATCACTAGACTGAAACAATGGCTATTATCTCTTCAAGTTCTATCCATTATTTGACAAAACTTATCTGGATAAACTTTTCCATTCAGGAAAAGTCCTTGGTTGGGAGGAAGGAATAATATTTTACAGAATTAGCAATTTATTTATTTTTCAAAACTAGCAAAGTCAAAGGAATAGAGATATATACCCAACAAACTCTACAACATTCTTTAAACTAGTCTTCCAAATATATAGAGAGCATTAAGAGTGAACTGACCAGAATCCTCAAAAATGTCACTTGCTGATGACTTATTTGCTATAAAATAGGGATAAAGATTTCATAAGGTCATAGGGAAGGCAAAAGGAGAAAAGGTATGTTAATTCCTCAGTATGATACCTAGCACACATTAATAAATATGACAATAAACATGATAGTTTTATCTTGTTAGTTTCTATCTCTGTTCTTTTTCGTCATAAAACTCTTATCAAATAAACTTTTCTAAAAATTCTGTTTTGATTATGCTACTTCCCCGCTTAAGACCCTCAGAAATCTATCATCTATTAAATCAAGAACAAACCTTCACCTTGGCTCCCAAAGCCCTGTGCAAAACTATACAAAGCGCCATTCTAATCTTTTCTCTCTACTAACTCCCACTGATAATGACTAAGGCATTCCTCCTCTTTAGATCTTTTTTTTGATTTGGCTCCCAATATTCCTTTCTGCTTATAATCTTTCCTAATAAAAGACTACCCAATCATCAATACCAATACTATTAATACAAATAACAATATTAACTACTACTTGTTAAATGCCTGCTCTGTGCTAGAGCATTTCCTAACCACATCAAATATGATCTCATTTATCCTTAGGACTCAGGACAGTAGAAATTATCTTAATTTTATCTGTAAGTAAACCAAGAACATTCAAGGTCATATAAGAGATACCAGGTAGTCTACTGAGCTCAAAAATCTCACGCTCTTGACCTAGAATGTATTGCCCATTTCAAATACTACTTCTTTCATGGAACTTTAAAAAGAAAAACCTGAAGCAATCTCTCCTTAAACTTGAATAGTACCTTGGAGGCATTACAGGAAATAGTCTGGTGTCTACCTTTTCAAAACACATACTTAGCACATATTCTTTGACAAAAGACTAGCTTGAGGAGAGGGACTGTACCTTGTTTTTAATATGTATCCTCAAAATACAGAAACTTGAATTTAATCTAGCAGAGTTGCTACTGGCACCTTTCCAGACTTTGCCAAGTGATTCAGATCCTAGTCATAAAGTAGAGTTCATAATTTGTTATAGCACAGATGACTGACTCATTTGGCAATGAGGAAAATGATAATTTGGCTTCCATTTTAGATCCCATCACTTCTTCCTTAAATTGTTAACAAGTGTGGAAGTGTTCCAAATGTAAACTAGTTTATATATTTAAGATGGGGCTCCCAAATATGAAAAAAAAAAGAGCTAAACATTAAAGCGTTGATAATCCCACAGAGAATGATAGGCCTATTGCCTTATGAATATCACCACAAAAACTTTTAACTGACCTTTTAAATTTTTCTTCAAAGTTCTGGAAACTTATCATTACACAACAATTTAGTTATGCATAAGATTTCAAAATTCAAAAGCAGACTTCATAGAAAATAAGTTGACATCCAAATGTTATACACTACACTAATTCCCAATTTTCTCAATTTAGTAGCTCGATTTTATTGAAGTACTTTTTATTTTAAAAATCATGAAGCACATATATAATGTACAACCTCTCTTCAATGGGCCAGCTGAGACAATACATAGGGATTTGTAACAGCCTCCAGTTTAACAAGCTAGAAGGATTTAAGAAATAATGGAATAAAACTTAAAATGTACTATAGGTTTTGCTTACTGAATGCTCAGAGAACAGCTGGAACACTGACATCTCTGGCTGTGCTACATATTCAGTGGCTTTCTTTTAAGTGACTATGGAAACTGAAGCGGGTAAAGTATATGAAATAACTGTAGGATTCTGATATATCAGAAAGTATATACCATAAATAAAAATTATTTTAAAAGTACCTCATTTTCTACCAAGATGCCATATAATATAGCTTCTTACATTTACCTTTAACATGCTTCTTAAATATTCTGCTATTTAAATCTAATATTTTATAATTTTATACTTTTCTGGCCTTTGGGTCAATCAAGCACTCTTTTCCATTTAATATTTAAAAATGTTAACAACTTCTACATACTGTCCTATATGGATAATACTCCAAGACCTCCTTAAATGAACAAAAGGAATTATTTCTACTTTTTTCCTCCCCTCTGTTTTATTAAAGCTTCTATTACCATTTATACCAAGACCAAAAAAAAAAAAAAAAAAATCCAGTATCATACTTTGTTTCACTCAGTATCAAAGTATGTTAGTATGACATTTCAGAGGCATTTTTAACCAAATGTTTCCTACTATACTATGTATACTGATGCTAATAAAACAAAATTTTTTTCTTTGTGGTTAATTACAATACTTCTTTGTCAATGGCAAAGGAACAGTTACGTTCTCATCAAATATTTTCAGATTACCTTTTACAAAAGACATAAATCCATGGTATCATGTATTTCTATGCAGATGGAGAAGAGCAGATTTTAAAAAATATTTTCACAAAAACATACTATTTATATCTTTGGAGAATACAAAGATATATTTTCCAAAGGTTTAAATAGTATACTTTCGTGAGAAAACTTTAAAATTCACCAACTGTTTATCTTCTTATGTATAATTTAAATCCTTTAGCAAGAAGCAGAACCTTGAATATGTTTTCTTACCTCAGGAGCAAACATAGTCTCATAGGTAGGATTATATTGAACTTCTTTGACAGCAGGGTCAAGGTGAACTCCAGTTTCTAAATCTTCCTAAAAGAAAACCAAATGAATATTAAAGACTGGATAAGCAATTATTTTATTTCAGAAACTACATCAAACTCACACCCGTCTTTTTTAACACCAATTTTATGATTATTACCTTAGTACACCATATGGTTAATAATTCTAATAATCAAAGATTAATAATATATATATAAGTATAATATAACAATCATTTTCTTTTCAAAAAAATACCAAATTTATTAATTAAAAATTAAAAATTTCTAAAGAAGTTAACACTACCGAAAGATTTAGAGTTTCTAACTCTTCTTTTTTATTAACTCAAAAAAACCTGATCCTCTGCTGGTTGCAGTAGCACATGCTGTAATCCCAGCAGCTTGGGAGGCTGAGACAGGAGGATGGAGAGTTCAAAGCTACCCTCAGCAAAAGGGAGGCACTAAGCAACTCAGTAAGACTCTGTCTCTAAATAAAATACAAAATAGGGCTGGGGAAGTGGCTCAGTATTTGAGTGCCTGAGTTCAATCCCTGGCACTCAAAAACAAACAAACAAAGCTTGATCCTCTAGTTCCAAATTCAAAACAGGCACTTCTTTTTTATTTAGCAAACTTTTTAGATGTGTAAACAGATGGCACTCTCTTAGATATGGCAGAAGAAACAAAAGGAAACAGCAGGTTCTCAGTCTTCTAAATCTGAAGTCTTACAATCCATGTCAATGTTTCAACCTTCTTAAATTAATTTCCCAGGTTAATGAACATAATAAAAGTCTCATTTTCACTGCAGAATCACTGGCAGTCTATCTTTTTATCCCTACCACTTAACAAGTATACATCAATTCCCAAATTGGCTTCTCCAGCCTGAACCTCTCTTGAACCCTGCAACCTTATATATTCAAACCACTGGACTTGGCATCTTTTCTCCCATGCCTGGTATCTAACAGACATCTCAAATTATGCCTGGTCTCCCGGCTCCAACAAACCCTTCTAGTCTTCTCTATCCAAGTTAATCACGATTACATCATTATAGTTGTTCAGGTGAAAACCTCAAGTTATCTCTGACTATTCTTTCTTCACACTCTATATTCAATCCATCAGCAAATGTGTCTTCCCTCTATGTCCAGAATTCAACCACTGCTCATCACCTCAATTCAACTTAGCATCTTGTATCTGAATCATTATAATAGTTAATTAACTGCTTTCTGCCTTTGCCTATGCACAGCCTCAATCCACACAGGAAATCAAGGCAATTCTTTCCAAATATTAGATTATGTTATTGCTGTACCCACCCCCTGTATCTTCCCCATTCAGAGTAAAAGCCTGATGAAAATCTATAAGAACTATCATAGTTATTCTCAGAAAGAGGTCATGATTTCCCAGGAGAGTTTTACAGGGCTTTTTTTTTTTTTTTTTTTTTTGTCATCCTGTTTTGTAATGCCTGACCATTCATATATCAAAAACATGTTATTTGATTGTAAATACTTTTCCTTTAGTTAGGGTATTCAAGCTATATTGAGAATTTTAAGAAAATTAAACATCTATGAATTATATTTCAGTAATGCCAGCTTATAAAATTGCTATTATAAAATAAGGATCTTAGTGCAATATGTTGAAAATCCACCCTCCATGATCTGCCCTGCCCCAGCAACTTCTGTCTTCATCTAGCACTAGGCCTGTGCTCACCTAACCCCATCCTCATTGGCTCATGTGTTATTCCTGGAATATACCAAAGGACAATCCTGCTTCAGAGGCTCTGCATTCTCTCTTTTTGAAATATTTTTGCCTAAATATCCACAAGACTTTTCTCTCTTTTTAAATTTCTTGCTCAGTTTTTTTTCCTGCTTTACCCTTACCTTACTTTATTCATTTACCATCACCTGATATATGCATGTTTATTATCAATCTCCCTCCACTGAAAATGTAAGGTACACAAGGTAGATTTTATATGCACAAATGTACAATCAACCCCTAGGACTACTGCAATCATGTTATCATCTTTACTGTTGGCCTCTCACTGATGGTAGATACACCTGTCAACACCATACATTGCAAGGGACACTGCAAAGTTTGTAAAATAGGTGGAACTTCATAAAGTTGACAGTGATATAGACAATACCACAAATGAATGTCTGGTAGTTCGGCTAGCCAAGGAGTAAAGAAAAACCAACAAAAGAAATAATATCACAGGCACACAGTTATTGTTCCAAAATCTTACGACTCTTAAAACATCTTACAAAAACTCCTTTACAAAGCAGGCTATTTATTCTCAAAGATATGGTCTATCAGCTATTACCCTGAAACTTCTCTCCTCTCTAGTTTTAAAACTCTCCATTTTTTGGCTTTTTCTTATCTTTCTCATGACTTCATTAATTCCCCCCAACATTTTTTTTTTCAGCCCTGACTCCACTCCTGGCTTTTGGATGTTCAAATCCAACTACCTACTGAATTTCATTATATATGGATGTGACAGCATGAAACACCACCCTAGAGAACATATCATTCCCCCATTACTCCATCTTCATAAACAAACCAGGCACTGAGTCTTTCTCATTCTACCTGTGAATATTTCTCCAGCAATCCCATTTCTATCCTCCCTGCCCAAATTCTAGCTACCACTGTCCTCGTTCAGACCTTCGGCACATCTTGCCTAGTTTATTATAGTACCTCCTTATCTGGCTTAATATACCCCCACTTTTAACATATTACACTGATGACTAATTTTTTTTTTTAAATAGCAAGCACTCTGATGCTTTTTGTGCCAGCAGCATGTTATTGCCTTGTATCACAGGCATTCACTTTGTTATCTGATAATAAATTATTTTATTTTCCCTGATTTCTTCCCATCTACTGGCCTTAGGAAAACTGCTTTGTTGTCCACAGTCCTAAAGAATGTTGCATTCTTGATAGTACTTGTGATATGTTATTGGTTGCACATAGCAATTACTTACATTTTAAATACTTACTACCTAGTAGAATGCAGGGCATTCAGCACATGTTCAATAAACACTTGTTAAATTACAGGGAAGAAAGAAAACAAATCCATAGAGAAATTAAGTAGGATAAGGATAACTAAAGATCATTTGGCAATTACATTACAAAAAACCTTTGCTGCAGTGATTTGGCCACTGAGGTGGACCACAGAAAGTCAGCAGCAAGGAGTATTGGTATATGTGAGGATTTAGATAAGAAAAGATTAAGTCTGAGACATAGTCAATCATACTGCTAGAGGAAAGGAGACAGCAGAAAAAAAACACAACAAGAATGAGGAGATAATGAAAGGTATCCTAGAAGAAGAGACGATAGAATCCAGGACATAGTACGAAGATTAACCTGTGAAAAGAAGGCTCTCTTTGAGATAGTAGGTGATAGATATTTAAAAGTGCTGGGAGATGCTTGGAGTTATAATTGATCATTTAATTTTCTTTATGCACCTTAATAAAGCAAGTACATACCTTCAGATTCATTCAAGTACATACCTTCAGATTCAAGTACATTCATTCATTCAGTACATACCTTCAACAAATATTAACAGTATGCCTAATATGTGTTAGGCACAATTCTAGGCCCATGGAAATGAAAAAAGATATTTGTCTTTGTAGTTTATATTCTGGTAGAGTAGACAAACCACAAGTCATTTAATAAATAAATGAACTATACATTTTGCAAGAAGAGGGTAAGTACTGTGAAAAGAAAACACAAATGTGCTAGTGTCAGGACAGACACATTATTTCACATAATCTTTATAACACTTTTGTGAAGTATAACCAAGATTAAGTCATTTAGCCCAAGGTACTAAAGAATTAATGATAAAGATAAGAGAGTTTAAAGTAATCACAATGAATAGTGATAAAGAGACTAGCAACAAAAGGAAGAAAAATCATTGGCATAGGAACTAGGTATTATCAGACAGGGTTCTTATTTGCAAGCAACAGAAATCCTTATAGGCTGATTAAATGCTATTGAATCCTTATGCATTTTTCTTAAAATTGCCAGGAGGGACAAAGAATCAGCTTTAAGAAGCAGACAGAAATAAAAGGTGAGTCTGCAGATGGAATCACAATTCAATCAATTATATCACAGAACCAATTCAGTAAGATGACAGTTTATTATTTTTCAAAATCAATGCTAAGTTGCTACTGCTGCCAGTGGTTGCTGAAACTACTGGTGTGAGAAACTGGAAAATGTTGGCCAACATTGTCACTTAAAATCCTGACCCCTTGTTTCTTTGCAGATTGGTTTCAGGCTAGAAAGTTTAGGTGGGTACATCTGTTTGGCTAAGCTCAAGTACAGCTCTGAGCCTGAGTTGAAAGGGAGCTGGACTCTCTATGAGGAGGTGCGAATGCTAGGCCACCTAAAAGATGACAATTACTTATCACCCTAGAATGCACTCCAGAGTCTTCTCTGATTACAGATAGCATCTTGCCTTGAGCCCAATATCAAACTTATTACTATAAAATTAAAAGGTTACATACAAATTGCTTAAACTGCATGAAAACTAAATTAAATGCTTTTCCTTCTTAATACTCAACTCGGAGTGACAAAGTGCTTAAAAAACAAGAAGTTTAGCCACCTTCAAATCTTCCTGATGGATTACAGAATATAGTTGCTAGACCACTTTATCATATGGGTTACCAGATCTTTCCAACTAAAGGTATCTAAAATATTCTAAATTTTAATTATATTGAGCAGAGTATCACGAGATACCAAATTTTAAATGCAAAGTACAGTTTAAAAAATTACCCTTTATATAATAAACAATGGCAACTAATAAACAATACAAAATAGATCCCAGTCTGGCTCCTACTAAAATTATAGAACAAATTGAACAACTCTCCAGAAAATGGGCTGTTAATTTTACATTTAATTAGAAGAACTTGGACAATACCACAACCTTGTTTTAATACTCACGAAGAGTTCAACACCAATTAGGCTTACATTTGGAATTGCTACAGAATTACAAAGATTTCTATTTAGTTTCAATTATCCACAAAAATTAAAGTGCAGTATAACTGAAGGGCACTCTATGGGTCTAATAAG